GGGCCAAGCTTGAAGCGTTCCAGGCACTACTGGCTGAACCTCGGGTCAACAGATGAGGTTGGCAGGCACACGAACCGGAGAAGCGTTGAGCAAGCTGACCACCTGTCGGTGGACGCTGCTACCTGTATGCGAAAGGGCGTAAGAAGGCTGGAGGGAAGGCCATGGTCGCCTGTGCTCGCCCCAGGGCACCATTCTCGGGTCGGTGCTAGCGAGTAGCGTCAGCGGTGCCAAATAGGTGTCGGGCTCTACATAATCACACGAAAACATTTCAATCACACAGTCTATACATTCATGAGGCATTATCCACACAGTCTTCTTATTGTATATTGTACACTGTATGAACATACCAGGACTCTGCTCAGTTGTTGATACTTGCATTTTTTTTCGCTAAGTCAAACATCACTTATTGTACTTCGTGTTTACCATCACTTCCGTTGTATATACAACATGGTATACTCTGGAGATGAACGCGTTGCCGAGCTGTGGGTAAGCGCACTTGGAAAGAATTGCGCTCACATGGTTAGTTGCTCTCATCGTCTGCGCTGTAGAAAATAATGCTCAGAGCTTCCTCAATGTGCTGTAACCGCGCGGTGGTGCGTTCGATAGCGAACATTCGTTACAGTCCGCAGTTACGTCTGACAGGTTGATGTGGTGCTTCAGCTTGCCAACGATACAGAGAAGAACATTCCGTAACTAGACATTCGTAGGAACTGGTGCGTGAAGCGGAACATGGCTCACCGCTGGTAGGTAGACCAGGAGAAGAAAGCAACTATGAAGATGACACAGTCCGCGACGAGGAAGAGGGTGAGCGTCAGGACGATGTGACAGCGCTGGCTCCGTCATCGGACAAGGTGGCTGTGAGCTAGGCAGGACCGTTTGCATATCGCTGGGTAGAATAGCGAAGATTATGCACACTTTGGTTTGCAATCAATGATTGCATTTTACATAGTCTGGAAATTTTGTCTGTGTTTTGCGCGGTCCCGATAAAAAGGCCTAGTAATGATGTAGGATATACCCCCTGTCGGCTGGGCAAGGGCCACCGTAGGTGGATTTGACAACATGTATGTGCATGGCAGTGCAACAACAATCACCAACTTTCGAGCTGTTCAGGAAAGAACATCGTAATTATAGCAGGCAATACTTAAACCAAATACGCATCTCCTTAACAAGTTGTATACAGCTTTAACAAGTAGTATATTGGCCGCAGCCAGGACCCGAAAAACCCCGCGAGTGCGGGGGGGTTAAGGTTAATATATATCATGATTATTCTCTTGCTACTAACTCGTCAACTAACAGTCAGCAAACGTACAGCTAACAGTGAGTTAGTGTCTAGTAAATTTCACTAACAGCAAAACGCCCCACACTAACTTTGATGCGGCACACGAAGACTCAATTGCAACTGACCCAGTACTTCAACTTGTCAACAGTCCTGAGGCGGACATGTTTTCGACTAACGAACCCGACGAATCGACGCTGGTGCCGGTCTTCGACCGCAGGTCCTTTGTCGACGGCAATTTGTTTCGGTGGAGACACGTTTGAGAACTGCTTGAAGACGCTGGACCGCTTACTGAGTCGCTTTGAGGAATGCCGATGTAACGCTAGGCAGGACCGTTTGCATATCGCTGGGTAGAATAGCGAAGATTATGCACACTTTGGTTTGCAATCAATGATTGCATTTTACATAGTCTGGAAATTTTGTCTGTGTTTTGCGCGGTCCCGATAAAAAGGCCTAGTAATGATGTAGGATACACGCACAAGTGGCTACAGTCACTTGTTACTCTAACAGATGCGATGTCTGTTAGAGGTTTGAACACTTCCTCGACCTTGGTGTAAGGTACACCAATGGCTACATACATTTACGACCACCACGACGGGTGGTCCATACACATTTAGGATTCCTATTGGCTGAAAGCAGCATCATTTAGCCAATGAGTGACTTGCATGTTAGCAGAATCCTGCCTGCCAATTTCCAGAAAGCGCAACGAGCTATCGATGGAAAACAACGAATGGCGGTTGAACCATCCGCCATTCGTTTTCGCAACTCGCTAAGCTGCAAGTTGCGTGCTAGCTAGCTTTTCAAAGCAGCATTTGTATGCAGCAACAGGGGAGGCCTGCGCTATGAACCGTACTATGGAAATATCTCTAGTCTAGAAGCGTCAAGTACTTCAGCGTTTCTTGGACACAGCGGCCAACAAATCTCCCCGTTTCTATGGCTTACACCAGCAATTTGACGAGGTAACTTGTGGCCATGACAGCTAATTCGCGCTTTGAGCAACGATTTATCCGCAATGCACAACGATTTGTGACACCGCGAAGGCGAGTTATAAGTCGGATAGAGTGCGCAAAATCCTTGAAAGCGACAATAATACTTTAGGGCATACTATTCGGTATTATACGTTATATAAATCGGACTCCGAGATAACACGTCAAATCGGGCGGTAAAATATTTGAAACCCACAATAAGGGTTGACTCTTGGAGTCCGTAAAGTGAACGGACTCGTACGTTCTGGTATTAGAACGGGCTATCTTAAGCTGTGAGTCTGTTATGTCTTCCTCTGACGCTAAAGCTACGGCAGCTCCGCTGCATTCCGCCTTATTTACAAACAAATCTGTTGCGAATCGGATAAAGCACATGGACCTACTTGCTTATCGCCCTGATAATTCCTAGTCTAAAATAGATATGGGAATCTAATTAGGAGATCAGTCGAAATAAATAAGACTTTGGAGTCTAAATTAGCCAAAACTTCGACAGATTTACTATCTGATTAGAGAACCGAATCACGCGACAGCAATAGCACTCAAAAACCACCATAGATCTTTGCAAAAATGCAAGGATTGTTTTACATACTGGGCGCTTGATACAAGTTAGCGCGTAGTAAACAATGTCGGTTTTTCAGCAAAAGACGCTGAGCATGCGAGCCCCACTAGATCCGCTCGCGTCCAACTCGCATCCCTCTGCCTTTGCGCTTAGAAGAAGCGATCACCAAGACGAACATAGGCAGAATGACAGTGAAAATCTCCTTATTTTCCATTGAGACCCGCAACTCAGGTTTGTTAACGTAGACGGGAAGTGGTCCAAACATTGCGATCACCAGAGCGAGAGAAGGAGAGGGGGCAACGCAAGAATGCGAGCAGTCCAGTGTCGTCAGTAAGTATTTTTAAGTGAGACGATAGCGCTAACATGTTCAATCTGTAGGCCCAGGCATCCCGAAAAATAATATTGCCCGAAAATATAACAGTATTTTCGGATTCAATACTTTATTTAGGGCATCGCCGTTTGTTTTATCCGAAATTTATGTAGCCGAGTTCTAAAATTCGGTATTTTACTTCTGCTCATCCTGCTCCAACCATTAGTTGTGGTCAAACATCGCGCTCTACCAGCGTAACTTTGCCGTTAGCCCTCACTTTCAAACAAGCACCACCCAGCACGCGCATCACGACTCGACGTTAGCACCATGACCGACAATCTCCTCGCTGGCCCCGCTCCGAGGCCTATCTTCTCGCCCAGGCAGATTGCTGCCTTCTACTTCAAGCCCTGCCTGGACGAGGAGGGAGAGACGACGGGCTACTATGCCTGCAAGACCTGCGCTAAGCGCCGCAAGCACGCGCCCAAGTCAGGCTACAGCAACTTGGTGTCGCACGTGCGGGCGGCGCACCCCAACTACGAGAGCGACATGCGCGACGCTAGTGTCGCTGCGACGGGGACCCCACTGCCGTGGGTCACCCAGAAGGCCTCGAACCGCTACGCGTGGCTGCGCTGGGTCGTCACGGGTAATCTACCGCTGGCTTTTTTGCGAGTCCAAGGAAACGCGACAGTACGTATTTTCATATCTATTTTGGTGATATACATGTGTGCTAATGCCGTATGCTATGTAGATACACGAAGCTAAATCCCATCTCCGTGGAGACGCTGACCGCCATCATGGAGGCCGTGACCAAGGCCGTGGAGACGATGATCGGCGACGCCACGCCCGAGCGTTTTGGTCTGGTCCTTGATGGGTGGACCCACGGCACGGAGCACTACATGGCAGTGTATGGCTGCTTTGAGACGGCGACAGGCCTCCAGTACCCGCTGCTGTCGTTAGCGCCCGTCATGGATGAACCTGACGACCGGCTGAGCGCTGACGGCCATCTGACGGCGGTTAAAAGGTTCCTACCCTTTTTTGGTAAGTCTATCTCCGGATGTCTATTCCTGGTTGGTGACAACTGCGGAGTAAACAAGCGGCTGGCGAACCTACTCGGTGTGCCGCTAATCGGCTGTGCCAGCCACCGCCTGAACTTGGCGGTGCGAGACTACTTGGAGCCCCACGGCAGCGTCCTCGAAGAGGTCCAGCAGCTTATGCGTAAGTTGCGGACTTTAAAGCAAGCAGCCAAGTTGCGGTAAGTACTCTGTTTGCTGTTTTATTTGGTTTTTGTATTGGTACTAAATTGGTCTTTGTTTTTGGGTTTTGTTCGAAATTAGTGCCAAGACCCCATTGGCCGCTGTCCTCAGACAGGACACGCGCTGGTCGTCGACCTTTTCAATGCTCAAGCGCTATTTTCGGCTCCGTCCGTTCATTTCGGCGGACGACGAGGAGCTCCGGACTTCCTTCCGTCACGCTCGGCCCACCGCAAGCTGGAGACTTTGCTGGCAAGCCTCCGGGACGTCGAGTCCGTGTCCAAGCACCTGCAGGGCGACGGCCTTACGCTGCTGGACGCTCATGTCCTATTCGACGAGCTCCTCAAGAGCCACCCCTCGTTCGCGAAGTATCTCGGTAAGGATCATCGCTCACTCTGCGTCTGATGGTATTTCTACTTAACTACTGCGTTTTATATGTTTTTATTTATGCATAGCCACCGACGCGGATATAGTCCACTCCGCCGTCTTCGAGCAGGCGGTCGTCAAGGTGCTGGACGACCAGGCGGCCCTGCTGACGGACGACGAAGTCGCTGCGCTGGAGCCGTTCAAGCGCACGCAGGCCCATGTGGAAGGCGTGGACTGCACGCCGGCGGACAAGGAAGGGTTCGCTGTGCGTGCGCTCAAGCGACGCAAGGTAGCTGCTGCGCCGGCCACGTACGAGCTGCTTAATGCGATTCCTCCTACCTCAAACATGGTTGAGAGGCTCTTCAGCATTGCGCGCGCTGTGCTGCGCCATGAGCGCCACCGCCTCTCCCCCACGATGCTAGAGATGATCTTGTTCCTCAAGATCAACAGCTCGTACTGGGATGTTGCGACCGTGGAGCAGTGCCTGTAAGTAGGTACAGTCGTAACATGATTGCAATAATTTACTGTCAACACTATGTCTTGCGTTATTTATTTAGTCTGCTACTCGGATGCAATGCAATATTTATTATTATGTCCGGCAAACAATAGATATATATCGTATTTTCGGCATGCCTGCCCATACCTGCACCACGGGCGCCACCTCATGACCGGACTGGGCGTCTTCGCCAAGATGCCGGCGTGGCTCTTCAGCAACATGAGCAACGCGCAGCTGGCGGCGCTTCAAGATGCTCCGGTAGCCTCAGCTCCGTCCTCCGCGGACGGCTGGCCTGTCCTGATCTTCAGCCACGGCCTCGCGAGCTCGCTCGAGCTCTACTCGTACGTGAACCAGCAGCTCGCAAGCCACGGACACGTCGTGGTGGTTCTCAACCACTGCGACGGCTCCGCGTGCGTGTGCAGCCCGGAGGCTGGCCGCATCGATTACTACCAGCAGATCACGCCGGAGGTTCGGGACGACGTCGACGGAGCAGGCTTCCGCTTCCGCAATGGACAACTGCAGCAGCGTGTGAGCGAAGTGCGCGCAGTTCTGGACGCCATCAAGCAAGATGCCGCCGCATCGGGCAGCGTCTTCGGCCACTGCAACCTCGCCAACGTGAGCGTTGCTGGACACTCGTTCGGTGCGGCGACGGCACTCAGCGCTGCTCACCAAGACGCGCGGTTCAAGAAGATGGTACTGCTCGACGCCTGGATGGAGCCCCTGGATGCAGATGTGCGCGACGGCCTCGGCTCGCGTGTTCCTGCGCTCCACTTGATGTCGGAGCACTTCCTCCACTGGCGCCCCAATGCGGAGAGCACTGAGCGCCATGCGAGGGGGTGTACGCACGAGCAGTCGCGCCTTACGTGGCTCCGCGGCACTCGGCACAACAACTTCTCGGACATCCCCGTGTTTTCACCAACGCTCAACCGGCTACTGAAGTCCGCCGGCAAGATCGACCACTTCCACGCGCTCCGAGCCATCGGCCAGTTGTCGGCTGCCTTCCTAGCTGGGGAGTTTGATACCCTGGCTGCAGAGTTCCCTGAATTGGCTAAGCTTACTGCTGCCAGACTCCATGTGAAAAGCCCTTTCAACCTCTCACAACGTTGGCGTGATACTCTCATTGAGAGGGTCATGCAGGCTCACCTCAACAGCAAAGGCAAACACCGCCTTGAAGTCGCCAACCAAGCCGAGTCCAAAGCACAAAGAGTAAGAAGGAAGACAGGGGGTCCCTATTTTATTTACTTAACGACTGGGTACTACTTACTACTACTAGTAGTACGAAGTAGTCACGCGCACACTTCTCTATTGCTCCATCGCACTCGTCCGGGCTTGACTTGGATGCTGGCTACGGGATCGGTGGCGTCCTCATATGTACAGATTGGCTTCAACGCAGGATACACGAAGTTGCTCACAGCTTGGACGTCGGCTTACTCCACCCGAGTAACAGGCGCCGAAGGCAGGTCGGTTTTCCGTGATCCTCTACGCAAGAAGAAGTCCTTGACGTCTGTGATGGTGCTGAGCAGCACGGGCAGCAGCAGCATGCCGTTGAGCACACCGCAGAGCACGACGATCATGTACATACGGAAGTAGTACTTCTTGAACACGCGCGAGTCCGCGAGTGTCAGCACACTCAGACCGATGACCTTCGTGATGGTGATGCCAAACACAACCGACGTCAAGACCTGGCGAAGAGCATCGCGAGCGCGCTCGTCGCCCGTACCGCGAGCCTTCGCGAAGAACCGGACGTAGTGACCGCAGAACTCGACGGCGATACCGGCCGCGATGATCAGGTTCACAATGGACAGACCGTTGAGCATGATGTCCAGCGGCTGCATCAGACCCAGCACGAGCACGACGATGTTGGTCGCCGTCAACGCGATCACCAGCGAGTAGAACACGTTGCCCAGGTACAGCGCCGTGATCACGAAGATAGCCGCCAGCGCCAGACCGATGAGCTTGTAGGCGTCGTCGACCACAGTCAGGTACTGCTCGAAGTACACGTACGTCAGCGAGTACACCCAGATGTCCACACCAGTCTTCTCGCTGATCCACTCGGCCGCCGCAAGGTTCTGCTTGTACGAGTCGATGTAGCGCTGCTGCGTCGGGTTCGACGTGCCCGTCACCATGTACGACCAAGCCGTGATCTCGTCACCGTAGCCACTGCTGTTGATCTTCACCGCAGGCGTCGAGGCGTTGACGGTCGGAATGGGCTCCGAGTCGATACTGAACTGGCCACGGTAGATCGAACCACCACCGTACGAGCACGACGTACCAGCACTTGCCGTCGCGAACATACTGAAGAGCGACATGTATTGGGCCTCAGGCACGGGGGGAATCGTCACCGACGTAGCAAGGCACGTGTCGTCGTCCGCGCGCAGAGTCGTGTACGTGTCGTTGCCAGTTTCGATCGGGACGTAGGCGCCCTCGGAATCCACACGGCAACACTCGCTGTCAGGGTTGACGAAGCCCCAGAAGTCATCCATCCACGAGTAGGTCGTGCCGGGGCTGATGTGCGTCACATTCTTGTCTCCGTGGTTGGCCAGCGCGTTCATGATGTTGGGGATTGAGTACGTTCCACAGATGTCCTTCGACTTGCAGAAGAGCGTCTCGACGCTCTCGTCGTTCAGCGACCACGTGTCCGGGTTGCGACCGTAGCCAGTTTCAACGATGAAGTACACAGGCACACCCGTGGCGAGGTACACATCCAGCGCGTTGAAGTACTCAATCATGTACGAGTCTGAAGGCATGGCCTCCTTCTGCGGCAGACCCTGGTCCAACGATTCCATCGAGTAGATCGACCACAACGTCCAGAAGAGGAAGACCAGCAGCACGACGAGCTTCACAATCTTGTACGTCAGGATCGACGCGTAGACATCCACGCAGTAGTCGAGGACGTCCGTCAGCGTGCGGTTCTCAGGCGTGATAGAGCGGCGGGCATCTTCGGGCGCCGGGGTCTTGGGCTCGAGAGAGACAAGGGGTTGGGCAGTCTGCTGAGTCTCCGGGCCACCGGCAGGCGGCTGCGACCTGACGTACGAGGCGCGCTTGAAGATAATGTCGTACTTGCCGCTCAGCTCGCGGCGCTTGTCCAGCGTAAGAACAGACAGGAACAGGGTCATCTGGAGGCAGAAGTTGATCGCCACAGCGCAGCAAGCCATGGCGGCGAACCACAGCACGACAGGCATCGGCGAAATGGAACCGAACGCGAAGGCCACGGACTCGGCAGCGGAGGCCATGAAGATACTGGGGCCGATGTACGCCAGACTCTCGGACAGAATCGTCGTGGTGATCTCCTCGATCGCCGTGGGGTTGTGCTCCAGACCGATGAAGAGACTTGGCTGCTCACGGCGCATCTGGTCTTCCTTCTCCGTCATAGCGTGGATGATCAAGAAGATGTTGTCGACACCGATGGCCAGCGACAGGAAGGGAACCACTTCCATGATAATAAGCTGGAGCTTGACTCCAGCCCACATGTAGATACCGATCGTCGACGCCACACCGCACACAATGCTCATGACACCGCAGAAACCGGCCACGATCTTGGACGAGATGAAAAACTCGCGGCTGAACTTGATGCGGTTGATACCGAGCGAGATGTAGATGATCATCAAACAGTAACTGAGCGCCACAGGGCCCATACCGTTGCTCGACTCGGCGTCGATCTCATCGTTGACGGAGATTTCGGCATAGAAGTAGACGTCGAAGATCGTGTTGGACGCAGCCTCCTCCTTCATCGTCTTGATGTACTCGCGCTCCCACTTGATGGCAGGTTCGTTCTTGTCGTCGTCAGCGTAGTTGTAGTTCAGGTACGAGGAAACAAACGCCACAGAGTCGAGGAACAACGTGTAGTTGCTTTCAGCGCCGTCAGGGAAGCCACCCAGGTAGGTGTTGTACAGGTTCATGGGCGAGCCAAACGCTGACAAGCAGGGGCAGTCGCTCATGCTCGACGGGAGCGAGTCGCCATCCTCCAGAGCGTTCTTCAACTCGGTGCAAAGCGCCACGTCCGACGTGGTCGGAGAGTAAAGGCAGTTACTAAAGTGCTCCATCTCCAGCCCATACTTCTCGTAGAACTCGAAGTGCTCCATGTTGTTCTGGAAGTACTGCGTGATCGAGTTGACGGTGCAGCCCGTGCCCGTAGCCTTCCAGCAAATGTCGTCCAGAGTAATCGTCTCGTCACCGTCGTCCGAAGTGTACGTCACGTTGGCTGCCACAGTCTGCACGCGGATGGCCTCCTTGATGATCGACGAGCGGTAGATGTTGCCGCCGTCCTTGGGCACCATAATGACCTGCTCGGAGCGGTAGAACGGGTTGAAGATCTCGCCGTAGTGCTGGCGCTGCTGGTACGAGGTACTGGACGAGGACACCCACAGCTTGATCGGGTCCGTCTCGATATCAATGTTGTACAGGCCGACAACGCAGACAGCGACAACGCACAGCACCATCGGGATCATCTTCTTGGGCCGGTTGCCCGTCGACACGAATACCGCCCACGTGCGCAGCTTGTTCGTCATGAGCTCGTCCAGATAGCTCAGACGCGTGTTGCTCGTCTCCATCGCGTGCGCCACGCCGTGAGCCTCAGGCGTGTACGGGCCGATGTGGGGCGTGCCCGTGTGCGGGTTGGGGATGCGGGCCCTCCGCTCGCGGCAGCCAGCGACAATGAAGCCCACAATGAGCAGCAGGGCGACGGCTCCACCGAAGATGACGAGGAAGTAGTTGAGGCCCGTCCAGTCCGTCACCGGGATGTTGCTGGCCAGGTACGCGTTCAGCTCGGCCCACGTCGAGTCGTCCGAGCCGGAGCCGACGCTTCCGCTGGCCGAGGAGGACGTGGCGACCGCATTGCTGGCGCCGTAGCAGGACTCTGTGTACGTGCGGTCGTCGCTCGAGCTCACGGCACACAGCGAGCCGCAGGTGCCGACGCAGGACGTCATCCTGCTGTTCTGCGGCAGGATGCAGTTGGTGGCATTCACGTTGTCGCAGTGGCAGAACTCGGTCATTTGGTTGATCTCGGGGACCTTGTCCATGGTCGTCACGTTAATCTGGAGCGGAGACCCGATGCTGTTGAAGGCGTACTTGCCCATGTACTCGAGGAGGCCGTAGCCGTCATGGCAGTCCTGATTGGGGTTGCACAGCAGCGAGAAGGAGCTGTCGGCCTCGCAGAAGTCGTAGATGTCGCGGATCCAGTCGCTGCCCACGTAGTACGTGACCTCCTCCACGGCGGGGAACACGGCGTCCGGGTGCTCGTCGTCGCCGGGCATGATGCGCACCTCGTTGACGTCCAGGAACATGCTGTTGTTGGGGCTGCACGTCATCTGACAGAAGATGTTGCGCAGGTTCTCCTTGCAGGCCGAGCACAGACCGGGGATCATGCGCACCTGCGTGGACAGCCCCGTGTACTGGTTCTCGGTACAGCAGAGCATGTCGTCGCCCTGGGCGATGGTCTCGTTGTAGAGCAGCGGGCAGTCCACCTCGAACTGCTCGCGGTTGGTGTCCGACCACTCGGAGAACTTGTTGGAGAAGCCGGCGTCGTACGCGTCCTCCACGGACGTCGGGTAGTAGCGGTTGGGGATGGCGACACCGGCCGTGGTGACGTTGACGTAGGACGAGTCGAAGGCCACGCAGTGGCCAGGAGCGCGCACGAGCGCGCCGAGCTCGTGCACCAGCGCCGGGTCCTGGATGCACTCCTCCACCTTGGAGTACGTGCACATGGTGAGCTGCGCCTTGATGTCGGCCAGGTTGGTGGCGTTGTCGGCCAGCGTCCAGGGCACGTAGCTGGAGACGGACGACGTGCCCGTTGTCGTCGTGGTCGCCGTGGACGTCGTGGAGCCCGAGGAGCTGGCGGCGCGGGCCACGCCCAGCGGCAGCAGCAGCGACGCGAGGGCCGAGACGCGCATGATGTGGGGATGTGTGGAAGGGAGGAGAACCAGTGGAGGCAGCCAACCCTAATCAGTCGGACGCTAGCGCTGCGCGTGCTCGACTGCCGGTAGATTTCTAAATGAGGCTGAGACTGCACCGCGGACACCTCGGACAGCGGGAGCAGCGAGCGAAAGAGTGGCGCGGAGCTGCATGAACCCGCGACCAGAAGCGCGGATTAAAGAGACCGTCGATCAGCAAGAGCTCGACCAGAGGCGCAGCGCGGATACTGCGCCTGCGACGGCGCCTGGGCGCGGCTATGCATGGATCCCCCGCCGACATAGTGATCACCTCGGGCGTCTGCCCCGATGAGCGGCGTCTTGGTGCGGGCGGCTGGTCTCGCGCTGGGTTACTCACGACGCTGGCCGGCAGACCTCCATCACCGCAGACGAACGAATCAGGTCGGCGCCAGCGAAAACGAGGCCATCCTGCTGGTCGAGCGGATACTGTACACCCGGCTCTCCTACAGCAACCGCACCGACTCGGTGACCGAGGACCTCGGTTCGAGGCTGCATCGACTCGGAATATGCTCGCGCGGCACTCCTGTCGGGGCATTTAGAATCTAAATTTTAGATTCGTAAGGATGGCCGCACCGATGGCATTGCCGTGTGGTGTTGATACCGTCGGTGCTCCGAGTGCCTCGGACAGCAAGCGTACCAAAAGCATCCGCGATTAAAGCGCAGCAAAATTAACGCCGTCAGCTCAGCTTAGAGTCGCACCATGCCAAGTGAATGCACTCTCTGCAGAGTCTGCTTTCACCAAGATGGACGCGCGGGAGAAGCTGCTTCCTGAAGTGCAAGAAGGATACACGGTGCAACGGGGGCAACATCAAGGGCAACACGGACTCAGAGTGGTACAGCTGCTTCTGAAGCGTCGCATTACAAATGTACCTGTCGTGATTAAATAGCCATTCCAAGTCGATCATTATCAATATGAATGGATACATTGTTTTCATGTAAATACCCACTACGTCCTAATTAAGTACTCATCCATTGACGCTTTCTGAACTCAAAAATTGGCTCGTCTGGCGATATGGAGTGTGCCACACATTCCATTTGCGCACAACCGGATGGAGCTCGCCGCCTCGACGCCAACGCGGGTGATCATCCACCTGGACCTCGACTGCTTCTACGCGCAGGTGGAGCAGCGGCGCCTCAAGATCCCGGACGGGCAGCCTGTGGCGGTGCAGCAGTGGGGGAGTCTGCTGGCGGTCAATTACGATGCGCGCAAGTTCGGCGTGGAGCGAGGTGAGAGGATGCGCTGCGCTGCGCTCTGCGTCCCCGTGGCTGCTCACTGACTGATGCGTTGATCGATGCGGCTGGCGCCAGGAGACTTTGTGGACGACGCGAAGAAAAAGTGCCCGCAGATTCACTTGGTGCGTCCGCCACACGTTGAAGTTACTGCAAGCACCATGATGATGGTAATGGTAAGAGGCTGACTAGAACTCATACAACACGCTGCTTGCAGCCGCATGTCGACACGCTGGGGGAGAACCGCAAGCCCGGGCAGCTCTTCGACCGGACGCACCAGAAGGCCATCCTCAGGAGATACCGCGTCGCGAGCCGCGAGATCTTTGCCATCCTGGGCTCCATGGCACCGATCATCGAGAAGGCGAGCATCGACGAAGCGTTCATGGACGTGACCGAGATGGCCACGCAGAGGCTGGCGCAGACAGTGAGTGGGTCTTGCTGGCTAGTATTTCTATGGGAAGATTGTAGCTGATTCGCCTGCTGCTGTAGACTGTGCTTTCGTCAGATTTCTGCCAGGATCCAGCCAACCACGACACGAAAGTGTTCGGCATCACGTGCAAGGACGAAGACAATGAGAGAGATACAAGCGACAGCGTCTCGGCATTCCCGCTGACGGAAGCCGAGCGTCTCCTCTGCATCGGCGCCGTGATTTCACGAGAAATCCGCCAGGCGATCTACAGCAAGCTCGGCTACACCTGTTCTACTGGCGTTGCAGGCAACAAGCTGCTCGCCAAGTTGGCGTCCCCACTGAACAAACCCAACGGGCAAGTCGTGGTCGCGCCTCGGTTCGTCGCCGATCTCATGAAGAGCTTGCCGATGCGAAAGGTCCGAGGGCTTGGCGGTAAGCTCGGCAAGCAGTTGGAGAGTATTTACGTGAGCCTGGATCCGCTGGGAGTGCCCGACCAAGGGGGAGCCTCAACAGGTGAAGCAGCCAAAGACGCGTTCAAGAAGCTGAGCGCGCACACGTTCCTACAGCGTTGCGGGCTGGCGGAGCTGACCAAGCACGTGGGCCAGGAAACTGCAGCGTACGTCCACCAAATCTGCCAGGGCGACGACGGGAACGAACCGGTGGAGGAGAAGAAGGTGCAGGTGAAGATGCTCGGCTGCGTCAAGCAGTTCGACCAGCGCTCCGGGGCGGCGCTGGCGCGCGTGGAGCAGCTCGAGTACTGGGTACGTCTGCTGTGCGAGGAGATGGTCATGCGCTGCGAGGACGAGCGCGTCGAGAACAAGCGCTTCCCGTCACAGCTGACGATCCAGTTCACTCGTGCCAAACCTGGGGACAGGCCGCGCACGTGCAAGTTGGGCATCGCGCAGGACACGACGGTGGACGAGCTGTACGCGGCGGCGATGAACGTGATGCGGCTGCACTTGGACAGCGTGTTCCCGCTGGCGGCCCTGAGCATGCACGCCAAGAACTTCCACGACCTGGACTCGCAGGCCGTGACCACCATCTCCAGCTTCTTTACGCGAGCTCCGGGCGAGGCGGCGTCGGCCGAGCAGCGCATGGAGGAGGACATCAAGCAGTTCGCTGCCAAGCGAGGCCGGGACGGAGCGGCGTCGCCGACTCGGAAGAGCAGTCGGCAGAAGATATCGGCCTTCTTCGGCCCGCCAAGCAGCAGCAGCAGCAGCAACGGCACTTCCAGTAGCACTGATAACGGGGACAACTGTACTGCTCGGTCGGATCCCGCGCCTGCACCTGCAACTGAGGCAACTTTAACTTGCGCCGCCCAAGCAGAAAATGCGCCGGCGGACGGCCACTTTTGCGCCGAGTGCCGGCGGTTCGTGTGCGAGCCCCAAGCCGAGCACGCCGACTTCCACTTCGCCCTGAGGCTCAGTCAGTCGCAGCGTAGCGAGGCCATGGCGAGCGCGGGTGCAGCGAAGCCGAGGAAGAAGGGCCCGCTAGACGCTTTTCTTGCCAGATAGAGTATAAAATCACAAACTAAAACGGAAAGTAGATATTTCAATTTATTTGACTTGAACTAAGTATGTGATCTGTAGACGAACACACGAAGACTGTTAAAAGAACACAATAGATCGACGTCGCTCGCCGCATTGAAGCCATAATCCGATTGTGCGAAATGGGGAGCGAAGAGGTGCCGCCGCTCTTCGCGATGGCCGTGCGCTACCGCGTGGGGGACGACGTCAAGACGCCGTTCGGGCCCGGATGCGTGCGCAGCTGCAGCGACCGCAAGACGCACGTGGAGGTGGCGCTGGCGGGGGGCGCCGTGCTGTACGCGCGGGTGAGCACAATCCATCCTAATCCTGCTGCACTACTCTCGGTTTCAGTATACTCACGGGCCTGATTTGGTCGTTCTTAGAGGGGCTGCCTGCTGCCGGAGATCCGCATGCTGCAGTGCGGAGAAATCCCGAGGCACACGAGAGTGCTAGTGCTGCGTGGAGGAGAAGAGGAGATGGAGGAGGAGGGCGTCGTGCTCAACTACATGTGAGAGGGAGCAACGAGTCCTCTGCTGCTGCTGCTGCTGCTGGATGAGGTTCATTCCGTCTCTCACACGTGTGTTGTAGTGTGCCGGACCAGAAGTACCAAGTGCTGATCAAAGAAGGCGACGACGCTGACGAGAGCCGGGAGCAAACGGCTGTAGACGACCGCACCAAGCTGCTGTCGGTGCGTCTCCACTCCGCCATAGTTGCAGGCGCCAGCTTGAAGCAAGCGGTTGCTGTGCAGCTTTTGACTTTGGGCTGTTTGTGTCTTTCCTTTATTTGGCAGAAAAACGAGCTCCGTCTGGCGAAGGAGACGCGCGTTCGGACGAGTTTCGGTCTCGGATCCGTCACGGACTACAGGAGCCCGAACGACTCGTATGCGGTGCAACTGGACTGCGGCAGCGTCGGCTACTTCCAGGCAAAAGATGTGGCGTGCGTCGATCTCCGACTGCTGTCAAAGGTGCCCAAGCCACTATCCGCCGAGAGGATCTACGACGAGTTTCAGGGACGGATCACCCGCGACGACGCGCTGGTGCTCAGCCTCAAGGCGAAGCAGACGTATCGCCAGCTCCAGATCTTCTGTGAACAGCACGCGGAGGCCATTTCGTTTATCTCGACGAATGCGTCGTACGGAGACCAGTACACGAGAGCTCTAGCTTCGCTGCTGGACCCCAGCTTTTCGGACGCTACCCAACGTTTAAGAGCTGCAAGCGGGAAAGAGCTAACGCGCTTGAAGGAGATGGCAGTGTCTGCGAAGGCGATGCTAGAGAGCGACCTGCTTGAGGGCAAAGACTCAGCTGCGTTTTTCGCCAAGGCGGCTACTGTCTTGAGTCAGTTGAAGAACAGTGACGAGGTGAAGAATCTTCACTCGACCCTGCGCGAGAAGGCCAGCGCTGAGCTCGGTTCGGCTCGGCAGAGACTCCTTTCAAGGGGTAGTGCTGCGTCGATGCTGACTTCGTCGCAGGAAGACAACAAACTTGTTCTCTCGCAGGTTTTGCAGGTCTTGGAAAGCAAAATGAATGCGGAGCAGCCTCGCTTTCAGGCCCTGAAGGCGTCTCTAGACCACCAAACGTTGCAGTCGGAGGTGCTAGCGAAAATGCAGCAGCACGAAAGCGACTTGATGAAAGCGCAGGAGACAATTGCACGCCTGGAGCAAATGGCGAGCAAGAAGCTGGGCGTGAACTCAATGACCGATTTGGACCCGAGCGCGTTGGCGCTAAAAGCTGAAGAACTGCTACCGAAGTTGTCGTCTAAGGCCGAAGTGCTGGTTCACGCCTCCGAGAAATATTGGATGCAGATGCAGCAGACCTCGCACGGCCAAACACTGATGAAGAAGGCGAAGGAATTGGTTCAGTCTGTTGAGAACCCTGATCAGTTTTGCGACAACGTGACAAAGGCTATCGCTGAGGTCAAATTGGACAAGCTGGCAGAGTGGGGAACCACGATGTCAAAGAACCGCGAGAAGCGCCAAGAGTTCGTTAACCGGATGAAGGATCACTGTCTCGATTTCTTCACGTCCGTGTTGCCAACCTTGAAAGTTGACACGATTTCGGGTGTGGAAGACGACATCAAGTACTCGATTTCAAATCTAGATCTGTCGAATTTTCGTGTGAAGAAAGAGCGCGTGAAAGTGCGGATGGGAACAGTAGTCGACGAGGAGCTGTTCACCGTTCGAGCGACGCACTTGACTGCGCTACTGAAGGGCTTTGACTGGACCTTCGAGCAGAAGTATTTTCCATACTTGCATGGAGGAGGGTTGGCGGATGCTGCCCTCAGTGGAGGTGTGATTTCGCTAGGCTTTAAAGCTGAGAAGAAGGTTGTGAACGAGGAGACGGGTGAGTTCAAACCGATTCTGGTGCTCAATTCAATGACGATCGAAATCCGCCAGGAATTAAAGCTCACAGTCCAAGGGAGCTGGTTCAGCGCAGTCTACAACATGCTGACATCACTTTTCGCGGAGCTAATCCGCGAGTATCTGGCCAAGACAATGGAAACAAAGCTGTTGAAGCACATGATTAAGCTTCTGGGGACGCTGAACAAGCAAATGGACGAGTATTGGCCACTGATCTTTCAACTCCTCGACATCCGCATGGAAGATTTACCGACGGCGAGTCCATGGCGCGGTGCGAAGGAGGTCGAGATTCAACCACAAGAGCTTGAGTGCACCTTCACCGAGCGAAATACCGTGCCTTTCACTTTCACGAAGGGGGTTCTGAACAAGTATGTGGTCGTATCACGAATTTTGGATGTTGACACGCCAGCGACCAAGAAAGAGGAGTCCGATGACCATCACGATTTCCATTTAACCGGAGATCTCAAGCGTGTTCCTGTGGGGAGCAGTGTACTGGCAATCAACGGTCTGTGCTGCAGTAAGCTGACGGTGGAGGAGCTGAGAGGCTTGCTGGACTCGCTGCCCCTACCATTCACGATGCGATTCTCATTGCTCCCGGAAGACCCTGCGAAGAACAGGCGACAACAGATGAAGCCCCAGCCCGAATTCTCCACTTTTACCTTTCGACAGGAGGGACCATTTGGGTTGCGACTGCGAGCTCGCCCTCTGGCGACTTGTGGTGTGATTGTGGTTGGCTTTACAGCGAAATCGGACGGTACGAAATGTCCAGCAGAACTCAGCGGCAAAATCCGAATCGGGCAGCTCCTGATGAAGGTCAACAACGTTGACTTGCGCTTCAAGACGCTGTCTGAAGTGTTGGCCGTTCTTCGCGAGTTAAAGTCGCGCCCTGTGACGATGCAGTTTGCCACAAGCCCGGATGCTGTCATCAAGCTACGCGACTGGCCCCCAATGATTGAAATGGAGGACGCGTCTTCGTTTGCGTGTGACGATGAAGATGACCCGCCGTCCACTGGCAGGAAGTATGTGGTGCTGTCAGCTTTCGCGCGTGTTCCGTCCTACGCCCAGCGGACCCATTTGGTGGAGAAGGGAGACGTGCTGCTACAGGTGAATGATACGCCGCTTACAGGCCCTGACTACGGTAATTTTGCGGAGATTATGGAGGCCCTGCGAGAAATTGCGAGTAAGAAGGAGCCGATGCGCTGCACATTCGTAAGCAGAGAGGACTATATCGCCGTCCGCAAGCTGCTTCAGCAGCAGCGTCGCTCAGACAGCAAGAGTGATAGAGGCTCCATCATCAGTCGTGGCCATCAAGAACAAGAGCAGAGTGATGAGAGCAAAGTTGAAAGCGAGGAGATCAAGGAGGCCGGCGATGGATCCGCTGCCCCGCCCGTCAACGAGGACAGCGTCGACATTTTGTCGTCCATCCCAACGAAAGAAATCGTTTTCCCGAAAGCCCCACTCGGCATTCTGTTTGGCAACTGGAAAGACGAGGCGATCTACATTCGAGCGTTCATCTCGAGCCCAGGTCCAGCAGAGAAGACGGGTCTGCTCCGCCCAGGACAGGCGATACTCCAGGTGTGTGGACACGCTGTTCCTCGCGAATCCACCCCTGGCATCATCGAGGAGATGATCTTGAAGGTGAGTCTCGAAGCAAAAGCTCAAGACGACGACAATTCGGACGACGTCAATGCAGACTCGAAGCGCGACAAGAAAATGAAGTACACGCTGACAGTTCGAGATCTTGAGTTGGAGCAAGAGTTGATGAAGTAGAAGGAGTGACCAGCAATACAAATGAAAGAGGGGAACTTGTCCAAATAATGTACAGAAGCAGATTCTTCGATGCCAATCGCCTCTACTCGTTGGGCGAAGCTACACTAATGTTGGCCTTTTGCAGCGCTTGATGCAGCAAGAGCGTCGCGTCACCCTGGAATGTGTCACTTACGGCTTCTTGCTCCTCTTTGATAGTTTTGGATGTTGATCGTCGCAGCTTCATCTTGGCCTCTGCGGCCCACGTCGACAATCTAGACAGCGTTTGGAAGGACACATTCTCCTGCACTCGTTGGCTCTCCGTCTTCTCGAGATCGTCCAGACTCGTGGGTTCCTCGTCCTCCTCTTCCAAAGCCTCCGCGGGCATTGAGACAGAGGCCATTGCTGCAGTCAATGAGGCGAAGGACCCTTCCTCCTTTTCGTGGCTCGTCGCCGTGGACGAACCTAGCGGCAACAACGTGGTCTTCCGCTGCTCGATTCCCATCAGGATTTTCTTGTTCGACACCCCGCCATAGAATTCCTCAAGGATGACGCCCCGCTGGTGAGCTAGCATGACCTGCACGAACTCGTCCTTGTCGATGACATTATCTTCTCCTGCTGCGCGGTTGTACAGCGCCAGCGCGTCACGACGGTCCATAGTTGGCTCAAGAACTGCCACCAGCTCGCAGAACTCCTGAAAATCCAAGGTGCCGTCGCCGTTTGTGTCGACCATTGTGAACATGTTGTGAATGTCCTGAATCTGTTGCTCATACAGCACGAACCAGTAATTCATGATCTTCTCCAGCACCATGTCGATATCCAAGCCCCCACGATTGGCTGAGCATCTCTGTCGAATCTCGTCTTTCAGTTGGCTCAGGGGTCCCCCAGGCTCATTCCGTGTAAACGAGAATGCCAGATCAATCGTCTGGCATACCAAATCGTGTTTAACCGTCACAGACTTCGGACTAACGAAAATTCCATCTCCGAAAAACGTCTTGAGGTTTTGTGCGATGGTCACGGCTTGCTTCCTGCCTTTCTTGTAAACACCAGCTGAAGGAAACATGGTAGCGTGAGACACGAAGCACAGCTAGCCTCGCTACGAAGAGGCTACGTACCGTTGAAGATGATCACGACCACCAACAGAAAGAAATCGACCCCTTGAACGGAGCAGGCATGGGATTCCGGGTCCAAAGAGCCTGTGAGAAGTCCAAATATCCGCACACGAGCGCTTTCCTACAGGAGTAATTCATGTCAGCTTCGTGCAATAGCGCGAATACAAATAGACCAAGTGAAGGTTCGCGTACTCGAGCGTTCTTGCGGATGGCAGCATCCAGAAAGATGAGCTGGCTGACAGCTAGGTCTTTCAGACCATAGTGTAGCACGTATATCTCCATGATGAACTGCGCCAAGTTCGCGCGAGGTTTGCCTGACGAATCATCCTGCACGTCTTGGAACATCTTGGCCTGGTAGTATCCGACAATGATACTGTGGAGCTCGTTCAACGTCAGAGGTTTGCGCTTCAGCAAAATCTTGCGCACTTTGGACGGAGCAATCTTCGCTTGGTCGATGATGTTAGCAATACCGTAGCCGAATTTGTTCCTGGCTCGATTCTTCATGATTAGCTCGTCGTCGCTGTCCGAGCCAGCCAGTTGGCGCCGTCGCTTCCCACCGCCACTTTCATTTTGGCGACGAGTTTCGTCGCCATCTTCTGTTTGGACAGCTTTGTCGTCGGTTGAGTTTTGAGCGTCTGCGAGCTGATCTCGGATCTCTTGGAGTTGTTGCTCGTGTGTTTTCGCAGTCTCTTCCGCTTCGTTCACAAGCACGTTGTTTTTCCATCGCAGATCAGTCGCGAGTTTTTCAGCCTCTTGCAGCTTTTGCTCTAGGCTCATCGCACTTTTCTTCTCCCGTTGCAACTCATCGACCACATCACCGATACTCTCGAGTACTTTGCGATCGTGGTCACACAAACAATCGTCCGCTTCAGCGCTGCCGTGTTCTTTTGGATCTTCGCCACTCTCTGGGGGGTTAATTGCATGCAAAATGAGTGCCTGGAAGCGAGTGATCCGTGCAGCTGAGCGCTCCAGAATCATGTTTTGGTGCGCATTCGACTTGACGAGCACCTGTGCCTCAATTTGCCTGCATGGGTGGACAGACTACGCGTTAGTTTACCCTAGTGCTACCGTCCAAGAATTCAGGCATGCACGTACTGCGTGATCTCCTTCATTTCATCCCGAAACAAACTGCCCATAAGTTTGTCCTTCTCGGCTGGGTCCATCTCGTCCGTTATTGCAAGTACCGCGGTGGCCGACACGTGTGCATGCAATGCGTCGATCGCACCGAGGACGATTTTCTCTTTCTCGTCATCGCTGACGTGCTGGAAGTGCTGCAGAATATCTTGCAGCTTGCTGCTCAGGTCTTTGGTGTGGGCTTTCTTCGTACTGATCTGGTCGAGTTTATTGACGTGGAGCTGCTGCTGCAAGTGTTTCAACTGATCGTTTCGGGTCCGCTCTTCGTCCAGACGCTGCTGGTGTGCCGCTTGCTGTCTAAGCATTTCTGTGTGGGATTCACTCCACGTTGCTCAGCAGTCTGCAGTCCACTCATAAGCAAAGAAAGGTGCTAGTTTTACCTTGCTGGAGATCTTGCCTCTGCTGGTGGAACACGGTGTGTTGCTCGTAGAACGTGGTGAGGCGCGTGAAGAACTCCAGTGCCTCGAACTCGCTGTTGCGGATCAAGGCCGGGTCGTGATTCATGTAGATGGCAGCCCCCAAGTCGCTGTTGAAGAACACACGATACATACAACACGGTCAGTATTCACTTCCCCTCAGCTCATAAATCGCCACGTACTTGCAGATCTGAAGCAGAATGCTCTCATGTCTCGCGAAGACACTCGTGGCCTTGCACAGGCAATGGAACGCGATCGCCGTCTGCAGACGGTTGGGGGCGGGTTTGCCCTGCGTCAGCACGCGACTCTCTCGGAACAGCATATCGCAGTAGAGCGCGTAGGACGAGAAGCTCTCGCTCTCGCGCGAGAGCGACTGCAGCCACCTGGTGATCTTCTGCACGTCCGACTGGCCCAGGATCGCTCGTCGCGGGGACCGGATGGTCGTGGCGCCCGACGGTGGCGACATTAAGGACACGAGCGAGACGACCGAGTCCGTGGGGAACTCACCGACGGGCGAGGGCGCTCGGGGCGGGAGGGCGTTCAACGGGGCCATCTTGCTCACGCGTGGCGACGCTGCGTGCTTCCTTCGGGGGAAGGGGCCGGGGGGGTCGCATCCGTAGAGCGACGGACTCTCAGGCGCTGAGGGGGCGGCAAACGCTGCGGCGCGGGGGCTGCCGCATTGCTTCCTGGGCGTTGGCGACGAGTTGGCAGCTCCGAGCAGACCCACGACCCGAAGCACCGACTGGCTGCGGACGGCTCGGTCGGCGTCGTCCTCCGCGTGGAGACTGTCCGCGTCCACGTAGCGAGGAAACAGCAGCGGCCCTGCCGCCGGCAGCTCGAGGCGAGGCGTCGGCATTGGCATGGGCATGGGCGCGAGGAAGCGATATGTAGCCAAATGTATTTTTACCTTCAACGACCATCACTCTGGTGGAACATATGGTGAGAGCTCATCCAGCATACCACCACGACCTACACTGTACTTGGCCCAGCTTGCCTGCGTGTATCCGTCGCGTCGTCTTGGTGATCCTCGCGTCTTGGCGATCCCTGTGCCTGCCCCCGCTGAAGCGGCTGCACGCACCCTGAATCCCACGACCATAATCATCTCGTCTCTCGGTATGACGCTTGGCCTTCCTTCCAACGCCTCGAGCGCTGACTCAGCCCCCATGCAACAAGGCGGATGCCGCCTCCTTCCTCGCGCGCGCATCGACTCGTGTGGGCCAAGCCGACCTTCGGCTGGCTGTCAGCCCTCCGCCGCCGTCTCCTTTCACCGTTAGGTCAGGAGTGCCTGTTACCTAACCGTGTGGTGCATTTTGATCCGGGGACCGCGCAGGCGCAGCCGAGCGCGGCTGAAGCAGGCCCGACTAACGGAGCCATTCGGCACTACGGGGCCGCCAGACGCGCGATGCAGACGCACAGCGACACCCTCCACCATTGACAAGGCCGGCGAGTCGAGCGTGACCCACGGCGGTCAAGCCGACGGCAACGCCGGCGATGCCGAGTGCCACCCCTGGATACATCTGATCCGTCTCAAACTCGAGCGCGGGGATCCCCGTGCTCCCCTATGCGACCTGCACCTGCACCCCCACTCCTCCCGAGCTCCTCACTTCCCAATCGACCGGCGCCAGGACAAGTCGACACCCTCATGCGCGTCTCGGCCCTCGCGTCGCTGCTGCTGCCGCTGGGCGTGGCCCGCGCCGCCAGCTCCTCGAGCTCCACGACGTCGTCGGGCGTGTCGTCCGCCTCCAGCTACGTGCCGTGGAGCCTCGCCGACAACGCCACCAACCTGGCCATCATCGAGTCGCAGCTCACCATCTGCACGTACTCCAAGGTGGAGGAGTGCATCCAGGACCCCAAGCTCGTGCAGGAGCTCGGCTCGCTCTACCGCGCGCCGGGCTACTGCGTAGCCTTCGACTCGGCCTACGTCAACATCACCACGACCAGCGCTGCCATCCCCAACCGCTACTACCCGACGTCCGTGGAGGACGCGTACGACGCCGGCTTCTCCAACAAGTTCTCCGAGTGGTCGGACACCAACCGCGAGCAGTTCGAAGTGGACTGTCCGCTGCTCTACAATGAGACCATCGCCCTGGGCGACGACATGCTCTGCTGTACTGAGTCCCAGTACACAGGGCTGTCCACGCAGGTGCGCATGATCCCCGGTCTGTGCTCGGCCTGCAAGGAGAACCTGCGCAACATCTTCTGCCAGTTCACGTGCAACCCGAACAACAGCATGTTCCTGGACATCAACGAGGTGCGCATCATGTCGGGCGACGACGAGCACGAAGGTCAGATCTTCCCAGCGGTGGAGGAGGCAACGTACTACGTGGGCAAGGACTGGATCCGCGACATCTACGACTTCTGCGAAGACGACAGCTCCTTCTCGCTGCTGTGCAACCCCAACCAGGACTGTACCGACGGCTACGGCCTCATGGAGTACATGGGCAAGTACGCCTACAACAGCATCGGGTCCCCAGAGCAGATCAACGTGACAACTATGGATCAGCTTTCGGAGGAGCTGCAAATGACCGAGTTCTGCCATTGCGACTACGCCAACGAGACCAATTGCATTTCGCCCATGAACAACAAGATGACGTCGTGTGTGGGCGTCTGCGGCTCGCTTTGTGCCGTTAGCTCCGACGATACGCGCACGTACACGGATGCTTGCTACGGTGCCAAATCCGCGTCCTCTTCCGGTAGTGGCAGCGTCGTGGACAACGATGACGACGCGACTTGGATGGAGCTCAACGAGTACCTCGCCAACAACCTGCCCGCGACGGATTGGACCCCGTTCAACTACTTCCTCGTGATCTTTGGAGGCGTGGTGGGTGTGCTGCTGATTGTGGGCTTCATCGTCGCCATGCTCCGTGAGAGGAGGTACAGCGCAGTCGAGCGTAACTCGGGCACTCCGCAGGTAGTTGGCCCTAACACACCAGACTTCCATGGCGTGGCGAGCGCGATGGCTGGCAGCGTCGGATACTTGAGCTTCTTGGACGATCTGATGACAAACAAGCTGCGGTTGTGGGCGGCGTTCGTCTCCAAGGGTAACCGACCGAAGAAGATCACCCCGATGGTGCTGTGCGTTGTCGTCATTTGCGCCGTCGGCTTGTACAACATTGATATCGAAACGGACCCGATCAAGCTGTGGGTTTCTACGTCAAGTACTTCGTACGAGCAGCGCCAACATTATGGCGAGATCTTCAACCCGTTCTACCGCTCGGAGCAGATCATTATGGTCCCGAAGGACGGTGGCAACATCTACCGCTCGTCGATCATCAAGGAGGCCATCCGCGTGCAGACTGTGGCAGCCAACGTGACGTACACTTCGGACGACGGTGACGAGACGATTACTCTGGACGACATTTGCTGGAAAGCTACGGGCACGGGCTGCACCGTCAACTCGATCACGCAGTACTTCCAGAACAACATGGAGCACTTCGAGTTCTACGAGAAGTATGGATTGGAGCTGGAGCACTTTAGTAACTGCCTTTACTCTCCGACCACGTCGGACGTGGCGCTTTGCACCGAGTTGAAGAACGCTTTGGAGGATGGCGATTCGCTCCCGTCGAGCATGAGCGACTGCCCCTGCTTGTCGGCGTTTGGCTCGCCCATGAACCTGTACAACACGTACCTGGGTGGGTTCCCTGACGGCGCTGAGAGCAACTACACGCTGTTCCTCGAATCGGAAGCGTTTGTTTCTTCGTACCTCAACTACAACTACGCTGATGACGACAAGAACGAACCTGCCATCAAGTGGGAGCGCGAGTACATCAAGACGATGAAGAAGGAGGCTGCGTCTAACACGATCTTCGACGTCTATTTCTACGCCGAAATCTCCGTCAACGATGAGGTCGACGTTGAATCAAACAACGGAATGGGCCCTGTGGCGCTCAGTTACTGTTTGATGCTCATCTACATTTCGTTGGGCATTAATCGCATCAAGTTCAGTCGAGAGTTCTTCATTTCGTCCAAGATCCTGGCCGGATTCTGCGGTGTGATAAGTATTGCCTGCGGTGTGGCTTCGACGATCGGTATCTACATGTGGGCTGGAGTCAAGCTCCAGCTTATTATCATGGAAGTGGTTCCCTTCCTGTCGCTGGCCATCGGTGTCGACAACATCTTCTTGATCATCCACGCCATGACGGAGAAGGAAGATCAGCTCCGACGCGACCAGCCAAGTCTCTTTATTGGTCTGGAGCACAACCCCAAGGCGATCGAGGAGATCACAACGGTCATCTTGTCTGAGAGTATCGCGTACATCGGCCCCAGTATCTTCATGGCCTCCGCTGCTGAGTCGGTGGCATTTGCGTTCGGTTCCATCTCGGCGATGCCTGTCGTGCTGTGGTTCGCTGCGATGGCATGCTGTGCTGTGGCGATCAACTTTTGCTTCCAGATGACGTTCTTCCTCTCTGTTCTTACTCTGGACAAGCGTCGCGAGCTGAGCGGCAAGTACGACATCATTTTCAAGCGGGCGTCAGCGGTGGCAGCACAGGCACCCGCCGCTCCTGAGACTGTTCAGCATTCCTCAGAGCCGCTTGTGTCGCTGCAGCCCAAGACTCCAGCAGCGGACGATGTCCGTCCTTCTGTCACGCCCGAGAACAGCACGCTGACGGATGTCCTTGACTATTGCGTGGATGTCTACGCGTCGATATTAACCCACAAGCTTGTGAAGCTCGTCGTGCTGTTACTGTTCCTCGCGTGGACATTGTGGTCTATCTACTCGATGGAATCGCTGGACCAGGGCCTGCCGCAGAAGGAGGCCATGCCTTCAGACTCGTACATGATCGAGTACTTCAACGCACTGGATGTGTACCTCGCCACGGGTGTGCCGGTGTACTTCGTGGTCGAGACTGGCTATGGTCGGAACCCCGATGCTTGGTCACTGAACGATGAGAGTGTCGAGACGATCTTCTGCAAGTCCAAGGATATCTGCGGGACGTACTCAATTCCCAACATTATGAACGCATTGGCAAACGACGGTGACAAAACGAATACCCACATCAGCCCCGGCACGACCTACTCGTGGATGGATGACTTCTGGGGCTTCGTCAACCCTGACAGCGAGTGTTGCCGTGTGGATTCCGAGGGCGCCTACGTCCCGATCGAAACTGGCAACGACACGTACACGACTCTGCGCGCGGACGACGACACGTGCCTTGCTACGTCGGTGATGATTCCCCCCGTGCCTGAGGCCCAATACATGTCGCTCTTCAGTATGTTCGCGACGGCAAGTGCTGGTACGTCGTGCTCGTACGGTGGTGGTTCGATCTACCGTGGCCAGTTCAGTATCGACTCGGAGCCCATTCCGACCGTCAACGCCTCGACGCCTGCGGTGAAGATCAACAGCAGTGGCTACGGTGACGAGATCACGGCTTGGTCGTACATGGTGACGGGCACGTCGAACCCGACGCAGCAGCGCTACATCGACTCGTACAAGCAGAACCTTGCGGCGGCCGAGTGGATCAGCGAGAAGACTGGTGTGGACATCTGGGTGTACTCGCTGACGTACGTGTACTTCGAGCAGTACCTGACTGTGGTCGACGACGCCTACAAGCTCATCGGTCTGGCGCTGGCGGCTATCTTCGTGATCACGACGCTGTACCTGGGCAACGTGTTCTACTCGCTGGTGATCGCGTTGACGGCGACCAACATCGTCGTGCTCGTGCTGGGTCTGATGCAGCCGCTGGACATCATGCTCAACGGTCTGTCCATTGTGAACCTGATCATCGCGGCTGGCATCTCGGTTGAGTTCTGCGGTCACTACGTCCGGTTCTTCGCGAAGGCTCGTGGTACGGGCGACGAGCGAGCTCGCGATGCTCTTCGCCAGGTCTTGACGTCGGTTGTGTTTGGCATCACCATCACGAAGGTCATCGGTCTGAGTGTGCTGACACTCGCGGACTCGCGCGTGTTCAAGAAGTACTACTTCCGCATGTACATGATGGTCGTGGTGTGCGGTGTGCTCAACGGCATGTTGCTGCTGCCTGTGGTGCTGAGCACCATCATGGACGTCAAGAACTTTTTCCTCCGCAAGCGCTCGAGGAAGAGCGAGCTCCCGTTGGCCCCTGTCACTCGCGTAGAGTAAGTCAGCCTACTCTGTCACCAACTGTGTGGAGCTTTCAACGCGTCGAGTGCGTAGGTATAAACGAGTATATAATCAATCAAGCACATCTTCAAAATGCGCCTACATGTACATGAATGAATGCTTCTTGGGTTGCTGGAAGCCGCGTGGAGGTTGCACCGCAACTTCAACATGTACGACCATCACTCTGCATTAGATCATGTCGCCGCCACGGGCTTCTCCTCCTCCTTGGCCCCGTTGGCAGCCTCCTCCACGACGGCGCGGCCGATCGGTTCGGGCGCCGTATCCGTCGCCTCGGCCTGCTGCAGCACCACGAGCGTGAACCTCAAGTGCTGGGCGATGATCATCTCGTGCATCTTGGTGCGCAGCCGCAGCCACTCGATCTCGCTGTCGTTCGGGTCCGGGAAGAGCTTCTGCAGGTGTTTCTTGGTGCGTCCGTAGAGGCTCAGGACGTGGTAGGCGTGCATGATGGCCTCCTTGTACTCGAGGTTCTCGTACTTGACCACGATGCCGTCGTTGTTCATGAGGATGTAGGACGAGAAGCCGGGCTTGCTCTTGAGCTGCTTGATCACCTCCTCCACCTCGTTCGGAGCCGCTGCCGCCATCGTATCCCGCCTTGTCTTGTCTTGGAGAGAGAGAGGAACGCAAAGTGATCAAGGATCCGTGCGACTCGACTCGAACCGACGCAAAACGGCTGGGGTCAACAGGACTCTTCAACTGCTCGAGCGTCAAGCCAAGCATGGCCCAGGGCTCCGGCTCGTACTACGATGACTACATGCGCAGCAACGCGATGCTCAAGCACTGCGGCGAAAAGAACGCCAAGAAGCTGCTGACGGACCGGAACGCCTACATTTCCTTCCTCGAGGTGCAGCTCGAGCGCGTGTCGGCCGCGTGCTTGACCACGCAAACCTTCGAGCGGCGTCTGGCGGAGCTCGAGTGCGCCCAGCTCGCCAACGACCAGAAGGTGGGGTCGCTCTCCAAGGTCTTCCGACTGAACCAGGAGTACGTGGAGCAGACGACGCAGCAGGCGCAGAGCGAACTTGCAGCCCACGCAGCTAAAGTCGACACCTGGATGGAGAAACTTTCGGCCGAGCTCCAGCGGCAGGAGCCCCGCATGGCGACGCTCGAAGACCAGTTCCGCCAGTGCCAGGAGTACCTGCCGCGTTTGGCGGAGAGTAACGACGCAGCACTCCACGACGTCAAGCACCAGGCGGAGCAGGAGATTGAGGAGATGAAGGCACAAGTGTTCGCGCTCGATGCCCGGGTTGAGGAGATGCACTCATGCCAGTCAGCGATAGACACAAAGGTTGAAACGTTGGCGGTCTCAGTCACGCACAAGCTGGACAAGGTTTGACAGTCAACTTATGTTGTATGGGGAGGTCTTGCTCCTAACTAGTGCGTTGATGTTGTAGGAACTGGCGGTCGTTCGCTCCTCGGTGTCGGAAAAGAGCTTTCAGCTGGAAAGAACTGTGACACAACTAGTAAGACTCGCCCTACTTCATGCTTTGAAGATTGAATCTCAATGGAACTTGTATCCCTGGGCTGCTATCAGGGCAATGATTTGGAGCTACTAGTGCACCAAGTGGACGCCTCCTTGCGAGCGGAGACATCGGAGACCACGGGCCAATTCGACGCGCATATCAGCAGACTGCAGCAACGACTCGGTCATCTTCAACAGGAAGTCAAGCACGGACAGGCAGAAGTGAAGGACGTGCTGAAAAAATATTTCGACACGCAGCATCTTCTGAGCGGTACGGTGGTGGCACTTCAGTCCGAGATTGATGATGTCAAGAAGGAGCAAAACACTACCGTCCAGAAAGCGAGCGAATCCATGTCGACTGCGGTCGAGGATCTACGCGAGAAGCAAGCAACGCTCAAGAATGCGCTGCAGCTTCTACAGGCCTGTGCTCTTGAAGCCCAACAAGCCAGTGAGGATCGCTGCAGTAAATTGGCCGATCGACTGGCTGCTGCCGAAGACTCGTTCGAGGGACTGACCGATGATTTGGTGAGTTGGCACTTCTAATGTTTCATACGTAAGTTGTTGCAGCTAACCACCTTCGCGGAAATGAATATGCGATAGCGACGGAGGATGCTGGCAGCGTTGGAGGAAGTTGGGGAGAAGCTCCATCAAAATACAGGCGCGACAACAGACTCAGCGGTATGAATACTCAAAACCTATTCCACATATGTTGTGAGTATACTCACTGCGTAGTGCGTATTTTGCTTGGTATATTGCAGCTCCTGGCAGCGCAGACCCAATTCGCACACGTGATGGAAATCTCGACCACCCTCGAGAACCGACTGCGCATACTAGAGCACACCGTCTTATCACTGCAGGTCAGTATGAGGCCGAATGAGACGAACCAAGTTGCTACCACAACGATTTTGTGAGTAATGAGACTTCCGCTTGGTTCATGAACCAGACAAAGGTGCAGCGAAGTCAAGCCATATCGGAAGTGCTGGGGAAACTGGATCAAGGTTCAGAGTTGCGGTCATCTGAGGCTTCTGAGAGTCTGGTTCGCCACTTTCCTGGTAAACCCATCGGCAAGGGATCCCTCAGCGTGGTTGACACTGGCGAGGTACGGGTACATGTAGAGGAATTCCCAGACTTCATGGGGTCTCGGTGAGCTAACACCGCGACTGCTATCGATGTAGCGGTGCGTTGGGTTGAGCAGTGACCAGTATTACCAGGACCGAATTAAAGAGTTGGAGGACCAGTTGCATCGAAAGGCACAAGTCGAGGAAGAGCATCGTGCCTTATTCCCAGAGCGAGACAGCTCCAGGGCCTCATCGAAATTGTCTGTACGGTCTTCTTGCTACGTCTCCAGTTTCGCAACCGAAGAATCCAAGCAAGATACCAAGCTTCGACGGACTCGAACAGTTTTGAAAAAGGTATGTTGCGTCATATTTACCAGGGTAAAGCACCAAATTGCTGACTGTGGCGTCCACTCCACGACAGAAGGCAACCAAAAGAAACTCGAAGACTGCTCAATCAGGCGACCGAGAGGCACGCGATCGCCGCGGCAGAGTGAAATAGCGCCACAACGAGAGCGCAATAGATAGATAGACCAGACCGACTGTTCTCAAGACATGAGCGCTTTCCCCTCTGCGATGGTTTGAAGCAAATAATCTGCCGCTGGTACTCCCACGACAATTTTGTACTCCTACAGCAGCTCGGTGCGAGCGTTAGACCGCTAGCCCCCGCCAATTTTTTGCAGGCACGCACCTCCAAAATGCGCATGATCCGGTCTGCAGCTTCGTATCGAGCCTTGATGATCAGGGCCATTTGACGCCTAGACTGCCGTGATCCTGGTCCGTTGGGGCCGCTAAATTCCAGGAGCTCTGCACCAATGAGTAAGTGAGCGTTAAACTTCGAGATAACAGGCGAAGCAGTTCAAAGCGTACCAACCGATTTCTCTGCGCGTCTCCTTGGCGATTTCATCCTGGAGGACGTGCAGCAGGTGCTCAATCTTTCTGCGATGACGGTCGATGCGAGCTGTTTCTGCGGCCGCAGTGGCCTCCTCAATGTTTTGATGACTGCGAAGAAGAGTTTGACGAGGTTTCTTCCTCCGATCAAAGTTGTAGAACTGCCTGTCGACCACTGCGCAGTGGCGCTCTCTCGCCAGGGCAGTCTGCTAGCAGGTATTAGGCGAAGTGTTGGTGAAACATGCTGCACAAACAACTACTAACGCACCGCTGCTAGTGCCGCTTCTCGATCCGCATCCATCTCCCGCTCACGGACGAAGAACTCGCGGTCCTCGGCTGCCACACCCGGGGAATAGTATCGTGGGCCGAGGTGCCCCACAAAGTGGACCGTGGTGTCAGCCGGCGGGTCCATCGCACGCATGCTTTTCATGAACTTGTTCATGTCGCCCCTGATGCTACGCAGCACTGTGTGCAACACCGCCAGCAACGAAGTCGCGGCTCCGTCCCTGGGCCGGGTCGACGGGGGTAGTCTACTGGTCGAAGCGGATTGCGGCAATTGAGGCAAGCGCAAGGCGGACGTGCTTCGAGTTGTACTGGAAGGACTTTGAGCTCGTCCTGGGCTCTTTGCCGATGCCACTCGCCCCTCAGTCCCCCAGAAGATGCCGACGGAGCTGCCTGCCGCTGCCATGAGGCCGATCAAAGTGTGAAAAAGCTAACCTTCCTCTATTTATACGGCCTTCTCCTTCTTCCTGATCCTAAAGAGACTGATCCTGCCTTGCTCGTCGATGCGCTCGCACTGCAGCATGTCGGCGCTGAAGGCCAGGAAGTCCGTCATGGCCTCGTCCTCCCCCCGGGCTTCGTGGGCCAGGTACGTGACCGTCTCGGGGCCCGAGAACCTGTGGATGCTGCGCGCCAGGTTCCGCCAGCTCTCCTGCCCGTAGATGGGGTTGATGCAGTCCGACACGAGGATGTAGCGGTAGCAGCTGCGGGGCAGCGCGCAGTCGGAGCCCCAGACGAACTCGGCCACGCGCAGGCGCCCGCGCTCGCTCTCGGACGCCGCGTTGGCCTCCACGTTGCGCTGCAGCAGCTCCAGCGCCTCGCGCTGGTCCGTCAGCAGCACGTCGGCGCCCAGCGCGGCCGCCACGAGCCCCGCGAGGCCGCAGCCGCTGCCCAGCTCCAGCACCGACTGGCCCGCGCCCACGTCGAAGGCGGCGGGCGACGCGGCCGCGAAGCGCACGAGCCGCTTCGCCAGGAAGCGGCTGGCCTCCCACACGCGCGAGGCCGTCCACGCGTCCGCGAAGATCGGGGCCAGCTCGGCGCTGCGCAGCGTCTCGGACAGCGCGTAGCTGCGCCCCGCAACTTCGACCTGCTGGCTCATGCGGCGGTGGTTGTTAACGGGCCGTTACTTAGACTGGCGATTTGTATTGGCAGTAGCCGCGACGACGCGCAGCTGCACGTTTGCCTTTGACTTGGCCGACGCAACGTGGCCCGACGCGCGGAGAGCAGCAAAGTGGGCCGAGAGGCGAGGGCGGAACTGGCGCCAACCGAGAAGAAGTGATGGCAGTAACTCGGCCGGCGTGGCGTCGTGAACGTGAGCGCGGACGCACGACGCCAGCGCTCAGCGAGTGAGTCGGTGCTGCTGGCACCCGTTGCCTCAATTAATCGAGGCCCACCTTGGCGAGCTCGAGCTGGAGCAGCCGGCCACCGCCGCCGCAGAGGGAGCTTGGCGCTGGTCAACCCTGACAGCTAGCAGCACCGCCTGTTCAGAGTAACCCAACCGTAGAGGCTGCGCACGCGTGCCGAAGGATTCCAATATGGACGCCTCGGGCCCAGAGCTCTTGGAGCGCATTCTCGTCAGGGCTGACTGAATTACTCTACACGTACGTCGGCTCTGGCCAGCACGCGCGCGCGCACTTCACAGTCACCAGCAAACTCGGCATCATCGAGTCGGACAAACACGGAAGGCCGCCGACCGGCGGGTGAACAAGCTGGCGGCCGATTTCGAGGCTGCAAGCGCCCATCGGCGCGGAGCCCAGCGAGCTGGCGACGACTATCCATAGACGCTGATGGCGGCGGACATGTACTTGGGCCCCAAGTCTTCGGGCGAGGCTCGGTCTGCAAAAAATATATTCTCCCAGCGATATGGCTCCATGCCCAGCGCGACGTGTCAACCGCCGATTACTTGAAATTTGTATGTCCTGCGCTAAAGCAGTAGATTTGCGACCACGCTTGCAAAATGTAACGTTGGCCCGCCTAAAAGTCGATCACCGACATACAGTGTGGATGCCCATGAGATTCGCGGGCATCCACACTGTATGTCGGTGATCGCTTTCGTGGCACGAAAGCGAAACTATATTAGCACGCGCCGCCTACCTAAAACGGCACTTTTCCATGCAATCCCAAAATTGGGTTCTTTGAACGGCAGATTCCGAGGCTGCATTTTGGTACCAATCGATACCTATCGGTCTTGTGCGTGTAGTGATAGTGGTCTCAACTTCCAACGCGTGGTAGTCGCGATGAAACAGCTTCGTGAAACCTTACATTTCAGCACCGAATCGCGGTAAGTTTCTGCCATTTTTGTACTGCAAGTAATTAATCGCTAGACGTTAGTATAGCTGTTGGTAATAAGGTCGCCTTGCAATTATTCCAAGTCGTAAGCAAAGGTCTATTAGGCCTTTGTATGGGGATGAAAACTTGACCGCGTATTGAACGCGAGTGTCAAGCGCTATAAAGCTAAAAATAGCTTATTACCTATTTCTTATACATAACTGTGTAGGTGCCAGATTTCAAGTTCATCGGCCCATTATTGCGAAGAACGAATGTATCGATTGCACGAAAAAAACAAATGTTCCCTGTTGGAGTCGACGCCTGTAAAATCCACAACTATGATCGCTGAAAGTGCCCCCCAACGGTTTCGCACCAAGCCCTTGCTTACATTTCAACGCTGTGAGCGATACCACAAAGCCAACTTAGTTGAGCGCCCACCCGCCGTTCGCTCAGCTGCTGTACGAAGCCACTGGGAAGCCAGCGAGCGAACCATGCATGCATCTACAAGCGCATTCGTCGCTTGATCGCTGCGGGCACCAATGAATGGCCTCCGCCACTGCCCGACGTTAACGTGGCGTCGACTATCACATCGTCGTCGACGTCCGTCGCGGCGAAAACGTACTGAGAGTTCTCCTATCTACTGACGTAGGATACAATATGTCGGTACATTTAACATGCCCGTCTCTTGCCCGAGCAATCTGATGGCCTAGCCCTCGCCATATGTCTTGTCAGGAGGGGCTCGCTCTCTCCGCGCGCCTTCAGTTCCTAGCGGCGGCCCACCACGCAGCGCAGGCAGGCAGGGCATCGATCGGCATGCCTCGCCCCGAGTACGCGCCCTTCATCACGTCCCCGCGCGGCGCGTCCGGGCCCTCGGTCGTGGGCTCGGCGCCCTCGGCCGTCTCGGCCCTGAGCGCCGCCGCCTCCGAGACCCTCAGCGCCGCGCTCAGCGTCGCCAAGCTCAACCTGCACCGACGCCGCCGGCAGACGCTCACGGACCCGAATGCGCGCGGCCGCAGCGCCGGCACGCGCAGCGGAGGAGGCCACACGGGCCGGCGCACGCCCTACCTGGACCGGGAGGACGAGGAGGAGGACGACCCGTACGACCCCCCGCAGCAGCACCACTACCAGCACCAGCGCCAGCGCCAGCAGTACGACCACGAGCCGCAGCAGCGCTACCGCGGCCGCCAGAAGTCCGCGCGCTCGGCCTCCAGGTCCCCGGCGCCCTCGCCCTCGCGCGGCTCCGGGGGCGGCTTCGCCTCCATGCTCTTGTCCTCGTCCTCCTCGACGCGCTCGCTGTCGCTGCGCTCGCCGTCCGCGCGCTCGTCGTCGGCCACGTCGCCGTCGAGTCTGCGCGACGAGAGCATGTCGTCCATGACCAGCGACATGGCGCAGCACCTGCCCGAGCTCTCGGCCGACCGCGTGGAGGCGCTCGTCAACTTCATCGACAAGTCCGTAGACGACGCGTACAACCTGAGTCTGGGCTTCGGCCGCGTGCGCTGGACGCCCAGCCGCGCGCGCGAGGGCGTGACCATCCACCGCGCCAGGAGCGGCCCCGACGACGCCATGCTGGACGCCGCCGTGCGCGGGAGCTGCAACATCAGCGCCACGTTCCGGGAGATCAGCGACCTGCTCATCACCGAGACCAGCGCCGACTTCGCCGAGCACGAGAGCGCCGTCAACCCGAGCGAGTTCCTGGACGGACAGGTGCTGTACACGCTGGTGCCGCGCACGCCCGAGGAGCGCTTCGTGTGCGTCAAGTGGCACTGCGTGCGGTCGCTGGCGCCCTCCGTCGCCAAGCACCGAGACTACGTGTACGTGGAGCTTGTGGATTCTTTCGAGGACGGCGACGGCCGCCGCATCGGCTACCGACTGGGCAAGAGCGTGGATCTGGACGTGCTCCCGTCGCGGGATTCGAAGCACGGGTCTGTTCGCGCCAAGACGCTGACGCTGCAGACGTGGAGCGAGCGAGCGCCCGGAAGCCTCGAGTTTGTGACCATGATGATAAACGATCTAGGAGACCGGCTGCCGTCGTGGCTTGTGCTGAAGATGGTGGACACGGCGGCGCTGCGGTCCGCATGTATACGGGACCACATCAATCAGCGCCGCCTTGACATGCTCGTGTACGCAGGTCCCAGGGATATGGTGCCGCTCAGTCGCCGTGTGTGTTGCGTGGTGTGCACGCGCAGTTTTTCTCTCGTGCGCAAGAAGTACAACTGCGCCGGCTGTGGAGACGTCATCTGCAGCCAGTGTAGTGTGCACCAGCTCGTGACCGCCCACCAGCGGCTTAGTGATCTCTCAGCGCCCGGAGGCAAGCGCAAGACCCGCATCTGCGTCAAGTGCAGCAGCAAAATGCAGAGTCGAGAGTTGCCACGACGCGCGTCATCCGCGCGCCAGAGCGACATGTCCCGCGTCAGCTCGGACGGCAGCGTTCGCAGTTCACTTGCATCTAACAGCTCGTTCTTGGGCCGTTCGCATACCCCAGCAGGAAAGACTTCGGACGAGACTCGGCGAAGCTTTCTGTCGGATTCCACCGCTGGCACGAGCTCACAGGACTCAATGGAAGACGGAAACAGGAGCAGTGGCAACGGATCCGCGGCAGTGCGTAAACAGGTACCGAACATGTTCCAGTTCCGGCCGACGTCCTCGTCCATGGGCAAAAGCGAGCGGTTGTCGAAGGCGTCCACTTCACCGTCTTCTCCTGGGGACGAAGAAGAACGATTAGACGTCGAGGAGCTGCAGCCGCAACTTCTTGGTGACAGCATCCTCGCCCCCGCCCCTGTGGAGCTGGATCTAGGCGTTGGCAAGTACAAAGAGACTTACACGCAGCAGCCGACGCGGACCGAGAGGGATTACCAGGCCGAAGCAGCCGAGCTGGCGGAGTACAGTGACCCCGAGGAGGAGGAAGGGTATTCGGAAGAGGACGCAGGTAACTTCCTCAACACGGAAGGCCATCGACACGATGCAGTGCGGCAATCCTTATCGCAGGCAACGGTTATGACTGTGGATATGGATGTGCCGATGGTGCACAAGGTGGAAGTGGCTAGCTTTCTCACGGAGGAAGAAAACGCCAGCCTGGACACGGTGTCGAACGATTCGGACTCGGCCAATTTTACGCTGGATGAAAACTCGAAGATTGTGGAGAGCAGGTCGTTCGGGCCGAGATCGGATGCAGGCGCGCCCATTCCAGTCCAGGTCGAGGAGTTCATTGTACCTCAGAACGTGCGCACAGTCCCGCGCCGTAGCATGGAGCTGGAAGAGGTTGAAGCTGAAGAGCTGGTCATAGAGGAGATCCAGCCTGTAAATGTAGGAATCGTCCCGCGACGCAGCATGGATTCGGAGGAGCTCGTCGTAGAAGAAGTCCAGCCTGAAAACTCCACGCGACTTAGTATGGAGACCGAGGAAATGGAGGTCCCGATGGTGGTTCGTAAAGTGGCGAAGAAGCTGGTCGTTGGAGCTGGCGGTCGTCGCAGTCGGGATTCAAGACGGGCTCCCGCACCACGGCCTACCGGTGCGCCACCCCCGCCCCCTCCACCACCGAGGGTGGCAGACGTGCTCACTGAGAGTATGGCGAGTGCAAGGGCCAACAAGAAGGTCCAGGCAGCTTCTAACGGTTCGCGCGCCGGGCCACCTCCGACACCAGTTGTTGCTGCTGCTGCTGAAGAAGATCCCGCTCCAGCTCCAGCCCCAGCGCCAGCAGCTGAGGAGGAAACGCTGAAGCTAGAGGACTTGCAGGTTCATCTGGACCGCATGAACCAGATCTCGGCGAGCTTGCGTGACCTTCGCCAGGAGATGAAGCAGACGACGGCCACCCCGGCCAGCACCCACACGGCGATGGCTGCGCTCACGACGTTCGAGACCAAGGCCAACGCCGAACGTGCTGCCAAGATTGCGGCCAACTTCATCAGTTTGCTGGATCGGAATGCAGCACCTGCGGCTCGGCGCGCCCAGCAGCACCTCAAGCAACGCGGCGGACCCCGGACGAGTCTGTTCAATTTAACTCTAGCCATGGGCGATGGCAGCTTCGTGGATTACCTCGTGGATTCGACGTTCGAGGATGTGGGCGAGAGCCCTGACGGCCAAGGTCTGGGGTGGCAGGCAGTGCAGTCGCAGACGACCGGCAAGCAGTACTACTTCAACCAAAACTGCGCGCTGGCATCCTGGACTTTGCCAGGACCCGACGTCTTCTGGGGGACGCTTTACATGGTGCTCTAGACCTCCGCGCAGGAGGTATGCACTCGCCAACGTATTATTTAGCTAGGAGAGAGTCCATCCGTGTACAGTTCTGCGTCTAAGGAAACCAGAGCACAATAAAGAAAGTGACGTCCATCAATACTTACACGTACAGAAGTACCGACGCAGCCACGTCGTTATGCAGACCGGTACGGGCACTCGTCCGAGCTGTGCGCCGTGGCAGGCATACCGCAGTGCGCGCACTCGGTAGCCTTCGGGGTGCCTACGTCTGAGGCCGACGTGATGCTTGTCCGCGGTGTGGGCGGCCTCTTGTCCATGACGGAGGCCGCCAAGTTGGCAAAGCGGGACGAGAAGCTGGCGAGCCCAGAGCTGGGCGTTGGCGGCTTGGCCGCTACTGGCACGGGAGGGGGCAGCGACGCGCTCGACGTGACGGACGAGCGCTGGTTCGACACCTCCGAGGCGGTGTCCATGCTGCTGCGATTCCGCGGCGAGCCCGGGCGGAAGACGGCGAAGCGGATGAGCTTCTCCTTGCGCGCGAGCTTGCCCAGCAGCTGCGTGACCTGCTGCAGCGACATGAGCGACGCGTTGGTCTCGTTGATGCTCATGATGTACATGCCCGGGTACACGTCGCCATGCTGCTCGATGGGGCCCTTCTCGCCCGTCGGCAGGTTGGTGAAGCCGTGCACGACGGCGCACTCCTGGATGCCGCTGTCCAGGAGCACGCCCAGCGGCCCGGGCGGCACGCGCACCTCGACGATCTCCTCGATCTCGTTGTCGCTCTCGCTGTCGCTGTCGTTGTCGAAGAAGGCCGCGCCCTGGAGCGCGCCCTGCAGCATGGCGTCGTAGTCGTGCGGCAGTGTCACGGGGATCTCGGCGTACTGGTAGTCGAACTTGCGCAGCTCCTCGTAGTACGGGTTGGAGCCCACGATCTTGTAGTCCGTGCCCGCCCAGAGGTTCACGAGCTTGGCCTCGCCCTTGTCCTCGTAGTAGAGGCCGCGCAGGCTGCTGGTGCGGATGCTCGTGCTGGGCTCGAAGAAGACGACGGTGGCCTTCCGCCCGAGGTGGGAGATGACCTTGCCGTTCAGGCTCTCGGGCTCCTTCATGGGCGCAACGCAGCCCTGGGACCGCAGCAGCTCGATGATCTGCAGGTGGCCTCTCCAGATGGCCAGGTCCAGCGCCGAGTAGCCGTCCTGCAGGCAGCAAGAGCGCAGAGCACAGAGGTCAGTCAGCCAGCCTCAGCGTCTGTACGTCTAGAGAAGGCCTGCCCGCACTTACGTCCGTGAGCGCGAGCACGTCGGCGCCGTACTGCAGCAGCATCATGGCGATCTGCGTGTTGCCCACGAGGCAGGCGCAGTGCAACATGGAGAAGCCGCCGCTCTCGGTCAGCGCCGCCACGTCCGCCTTGCCGATCTTGAGCGTCAGGTAGCGCCGCGCCTTCTCCACGCTGCCCTCGAGGATGGCCTCGCGCAGGTACTGGTTGCTCTTGCCCTGCAGCAGGTTCATGGCCCCAAACTCTTGTCTTCTCGCCTGGAAACTCGGGAAATGATACGAATCAGGCAGTAGTATGATCCTTTACGTAGTGATACACGGCCCTTTAAGCAGGCATTTACAGTGATTAAGAGGGATCTATGTATGCAAAAGCCACTTTATGTAACTGAAGGTAAAAATGCAATGCGGCCAAACTGAACGAAGCTGACATCGGAGCTCTCTCGTCCACGCCAGCTCCTAGATGCGGTAAGGCGGCAGCAGGAGGACATGCGAGCAGGACGTCGCAAGGCGCAACAAGGCGGAAGTACGTTCCGCAGCAGCGACCAACCTCAAGACTACATGTACTACCAGCACTCGGCACTAACTAAATAGTATCCTACTGGCAGACACGACCCCTGCCAGAGGTACTGCCAGCAGTGCCACCGCTGCGAGGAACGAAGCGCAACGCCCGTCGCCACCACTTCAACTTATCACCATCGACATCTCGGCTGCACGACGGAGCACAAACACCTTCACTCACCATTCCATGGTACACTCAACACTCGGCGCCGTCGAAGCGGTGGTATCCATGCTGCTGCTGCTGCTGCTGCTGCTGCTGCTGCCTTCCAGTCACTTGCCGGTCGACCCCGTTCCCCGCAAGTGTCCCTCTCTGTCCGCACCCCATGGCCATCTCGGCGCCCTACGAGGCCGCGCCTCCGTCTCCAGCGCTCGCTGCGCGCACCAACCCGCTGAGCTCGGCGTCGCTGCCGTCGCAGCTCCTGGTGCTGTGGTTCCAGCCGCTCGTGTCCCTCGGCGCCCGCCGGCCGCTAGCGTCTCCGACCTGTGGCCTGTGTGCGCGTCCGACTCGGTGCGCGCGCTGCAGCGCCGCCTCTCGGCGTTCTACGAGCCCGCGAATCCTCCGCCGCTGGCCGGGACCTTCCTCCGAGTCTTCCGCCGCCCGCTGCTGCTGGTGTTCGCCAACTACGGCGTCTACATCGCCGCCATGGCGCTGCAGTCGTACGTGGCGCAGGCCCTCCTGGACCACCTCCACGGCCGCCCCAACGTCTTCCGCGTGTCCAGCGGCTATGCGCTTGTGGCGCTCATGGCCGCCGTCTCGGTGGTCGCCATCACGTGCCGCAACTTCGCCTTCTTCCTGTCGTCGAGAGCGGGCTCCAACATGCGCTCGCTCGTAATGAGCTGCATCTTCCACAAGATGCTGCGGCTCTCCAGCGCGGCCAGGCAGCAGTACACGACGGGGGAGGTGCTCACGCTCATGAGCGTCGACGCTGAGCGCGTCTTCAGTGCCATGATGCAGGGGCCCTGGCTGCTAGTGGCTCCGCTGGGATTCGTTGTCTGCCTCGCGCTCATCAACGTGCTGTTCGACGCCGCGTCGGCGCTCTGTGGCCTCGCAGTGCTCGTTGTCGTCCTCACTCTCTCTGTCCGACAGGCCAAGCGGATCTCCGCCATCCAGCGCCAACTGCTCCCCGTCGTGGACGAGCGCGTCAAGGTCACGTCCGAGGCGCTGCAGGGAGTGCGCGTCATGAAGCTCTACGCCTGGGAGCGGTGCGTCGCCAAGCGCGTCCAGAAGATCCGCGCGACCGAGGTCAGTCTCTTTCGCAAACTCCATGCTTGCATGGTCTCGAGCTCTGTATTGCTTTTCCTCACCCCCGTGTTCCTTTCAGGCTCGACGATGGGCCTCTACGTGCTGCTGCACAGCGCCATTTCCGTGACCGACGCGTTCACGCTCGTGGCGCTTGTCAACATCTGCCGCGCCGTCGTCAACGAGTTCACCACCGCACTGACCGCGCTCTCGCAGGCGCGCAGCAGCTTCCGCCGCATCGACAAGTTTCTGGCGAGCGACGAGTTCAAGGCGCCCGCTACATGTTACCAGTCACTGGGGGACGTAGGGTGCATTAGCCTGCGAAATGCACGCGCAGAGTGGCCCATTTCGACACGAGAAATGGATGACGACGACGTCAGCAGCTCGGTGGTGTCATCCCAAGTGCTGTCGCCTGATTCCAGCAGCACGTTTGCTCTCAAAGGCTTAAGCCTCAACATTGAACCGGGATCGCTGGTCATGGTGGTTGGAGCTGTCGGGTCGGGGAAGAGCAGCTTCCTCAACGCGTTGCTGAGCGAAATGACGTTGCGCGAGGGTGAGCTTGAAGTGCACGGCGATATCTCGTATGTCTCGCAGGAGCCGTGGATTCGCAACTGCAGCGTCAAGAGCAACATAGTGTTCGAGTCTGCGTTCGATGCCGCGAAGTACGAGAGCGTGCTGAGGGCTTCCCAACTATCGCTGGATCTTCATGCGCTTCCCAATGGGGACCAGACCGAGATTGGCGAGCGAGGGATCAACCTCAGTGGCGGCCAAAAAGCACGAGTCGCTATTGCTCGAGCGTTTTACCGCTGGCACGACATCTTGATCTTGGATGGCCCACTGAGCGCAGTGGATGCACACGTGGCCCACGCCATCTTCGAGGAGAGCATCGTTGGCCTTGCTGCGAACAAGACACGGCTCCTCGTGCTAAACAGCCATTACGACTTGCTCGCTCGGGCGGACAAGATCGTCGATTTCCAGATCGTCGGGGACGGAACTTACGACGAAGTGTTGGCCAACTTCCCAGAGCTTCGCTACGAAAACCACCATCACGGCTCTGAGACTGCAGAACCCAAGCGCGAACCTGAACCGACGGAAGGAGACTCAGCGACAACCATGGATATGACCTCGACACAGGAAGCGACAGTGCTCGGGGAGGCATCACCCAACGCTGAACGTTTAGTCAGAGATGAAGACCGCGCGACCGGCACAGTGGGTGGTCGCATTTACAGAGCATACTTTGACGAGACGGGTCATAACGGCATCTTGGTGCTACTGGTGCTCGTGGTGGTGGTGTACTCTGTGAGTCAAGCCATGCGCGTGCTCGTGGACTGGTGGCAGGGTTTCTGGGCGTCGAATATGACTCAGAGAGGTGTCGACCCGAGTTACTCAGGGACTGCCTTTGGGATGTGGTACTTGGGCTTTATCGTCGTGTGCACCGTCGTCACACTCGGCCGAGGCATTATCATGACCGAGGCATGCGTTCGGAGCGCGAGGAACCTCCATGACGACCTGTTCTAGCGCGTGCTGAGCGCGCCAATCAGTCTTTACTTCGACGTGACACCCATCGGGAGGATTCTCAACCGCTTCTCCAACGACCTCGATCAGATGGACTCGGTCTTGCCTTAACAGTACCAGATGATGTTCCAGAACGTGGCGATGTCTGTCGGTGAGCTTGGTCGTGTCGGCTGTGTCGTCCTACTGGATCTGTGTTGCCTACCTCCCGCTGCTGCTGGTGTTTGTGTTCACGGGGCGATACTTCAACAAGACTTCTCGCGAGGTGAAGCGTCTGGAAGGGGTCTCTCGGTCTCCCGTCTACAATTTGTTCGACGAGACGCTGGCAGGACTGCGGACGATCCGCGCTTTCAAGATGCAACAGACATTCGCGGACCTCAACGAGAAGGTGGTGAACGAGAACACCGCGGCGTACTTTTCCTACTGTGCCGCTGGGAGGTGGCTGGCTGTTCGGCTTGATTGGCTCTCCGTGGTGGTGATCCTTGTAGTATTGCTGTACCTCGTAGCTGCAAAGGGGCAGATCTCGCCGGTGGTGGCCGGTATCTCGCTCACGTACTCGCTCATGCTCACGTCCACGATGCAGAACACCGTGCGCGCTGTCGACAGCACGGATAACGCGGTGATGAGCGTCGAGCGTTTGCTTCACTTCCGGTCGATCCCCGTCGAAGAGGACAGTCCGGCGTGCGTTCCTATCGACGACTCTGCGTGGCCTTCTCACGGTGCCATCAAGTTCGACAATCTGTGTCTCAAGTACCGACCCGAACTACCGCTCGTGCTTCGTGGTGTGAGCATGAGCGTTGCTGCTGGGGAGAAGGTCGGCATCTGCGGACGCGCGGGGGCTGGCAAGAGCTCGCTGATGATCGCTCTGTTCCGCATCTGCGAGTTCCACAGCGGCAGTGTGACGATCGACGGTGTTGATATCCAACAGGTGCGGCTTGCCGACCTCCGTCGCAGCCTGGCCATCATCCCGCAGGCCCCTGTGCTCTTCAGTGGCTCCATCCGAGAGAACCTGGACCCGCTCGGGGTGTATTCGGACGCCGACATGTGGGCGGTTCTACAACAAGTGCATCTCGCGGATACCGTGACCAAGTGGGGTGCAGGACTCGACTTTGAGGTGTCTGAGGCTGGCGACAATTTATCGGTCGGCCAGCGGCAGTTGCTGTGCATCGGACGCGCCCTTCTGAAGAACAGCAAGATTGTGGTGCTGGACCAGGCCACAGCCAGCGTCGACTCGGCCACAGACGAGTTGATTCAGACGACCATCAAGCAGACATTCGCGGAGCAAACCGTCTTGATCATCGCGCACCGCATCAACACCATCCTGCATTGCGACAAAATTGCTGTCATGGACGCGGGGCGTGAAGCCGAGTTCGCGCCACCATCAGAGCTCTTAGCGCGACCGAGCTCTGCATTTGCGGCACTGATGAAGCGAACGGCCTCCACGCTGGTCGCGTAAACTAATGAACGCGACTAAAAGCAGTAGCGCGTGGTCAAAGAAGTCCTGACCTAGTCAAAGGGAGGCAGCGGAATCCATGCAGGTAACAACAAAGTTAGTCTTGTTTAAGTAGTTGTCCCTAAGCGGTCCTCTCTACTCTTCATGACCGTTTAGGTGTGCCCCAAGCGACTGGCAAGCGACGCAAAGATCGACTCTGGCTGCTGCAACAACGCTGAAGGAGATCCGAATTCCGCCACGCGTCCAGCATCCATGACGGCGATCTTGTTGCAGTGCAGGATGGTGTTGATGCGATGCGCGATGATCAGCACCGTCTTGTCGGCGAACGTCTCCTGGATCGTTGACTGAATGAGGCGGTCGGTGGCTGTGTCCACGTTCGCAGTCGCTTCATCCAGCACCACGATCCTGCTGTCCTTCAGCAGCGCTCGGCCGATGCACAGAAGCTGCCGCTGCCCCACCGACAGATTGTCGCCCTTCTCAGAGACGACGAAGCTCAAACCGGTGCCCCACTTCGTGACCGTGGACGCCAAATGCACTTGCTGCAGTACGGACCAGATCGCGTCATCAGTGTAGTCGCCGAACGGGTCCAGGTTATCGCGCAGGGTGCCGCTGTAGAGCACTGGGTCTTGGGGGATGATGGCCAAGCCGCGGCGGAGATCGTGCAGTCGCACCTTCTCGATGTCCATGTCGTCGATGACAATGGATCCGCTGTCGAAGGCGCAGATGCGGAAGAGCGCGATCATGAGCGAGCTCTTCCCGGCCCCAGTACGGCCGCAGATGCCCACCTTCTCTCCTGGTTGAATCTCCATGCTGACACCTCGAAGCACCAGCGGCAGATCGGGGCGATACCTCAGACACAAGTTGTCGAAGCGGATGGCACCGCGCGCAGGCCACGCCGCTCCGTTGATCGGAAGGCAGTCGGCACTGTCCTTCTCGACTGGGATGTTGCGGAAGTGCAGAAGCCTCTCCACGCTCGTCATGGCGTTGTCCGTCAAGTCAACCGCTCGAACCACCCACTGGATCATCGACGTCAGCATCAGCGAGTACGAGAGCGAGATGCCGGCGACAACCGAGTCCGTTTCGCCTTTGGACGTGACGAGGTAGATGGTCACCACGAAGATGACAACCACGGACAACCAGTCGAGGCGAATCGCGAGCCAGCGACCAGCAGCCCAGTACGTGAAGTAGAAGGAAGTGTTGTCGTCCACTGCCGCTTTGTTGAGCTCCACGAACTTGTGCTGCATCCTGAAGGCGCGGATCGTGTGCAGCCCGTTGAGGGTCTCTCCGAACAGATTGAAGACGGGCGAGCGCGTGACCCCTTCCAGGCGCTTTACTTCTCGAGACGTTTGCTTGAAGTACACGCCCGTGACGACGAAGATCACGAGCATGGGCAGATACGAAACCCCGACCCAGAACGAAGCCAGAGCACACACAATCAAGCATCCGACGAACACTCCAAGACTCTGGAAAAGCGACTGGTAGTGCTGGGGCAAGACCGAGTCCATTTGGTCGAGGTCGTTGGAGAACCGGTTCAGAATTCGCCCGACCGGAGTGACGTCGAAGTAAAGATTCACTGGAGCACTCAGCACGCGACGGAAAAGTTCGTTGTGCAAGTTCTTGGAGCTGCGAATGCAGGATTCCATCATCAGAAGACCACGGCCGATCGTCACCAGCGCGCATACCACGATGAAGCCAAAGTACCAGAGCCCATACGCCAGCTCCGAGTAGCTCGAGTCGGACGCCTCGTTCTCCATCTCCTTGGCCCAATGACCTTGCCACCAGTCGACCACAACTCGCATCCCCTGTCCAGCAAAATACGCCGCGATAATCGTGAGCACCACGAGGACTCCGTTGAACCCGGTCTCGTCGAAGTACGACTTGTACGTTTGGCCGCTCACTCGCCCCTTGACGCGATCTTCGCTACTGATCAGTCCGGTGGAGTTTCCTCCAGGCTTGCTCTGTTCGGGGACCAGAGGCTGCTCCTTCTTCACAGCTACTGCAGTTGCCGTGGATGCAGATAACCTCACCATTTCCGCCTCTTCCTCGTCGTTGTGCTCGTCAATCACGTCCTGCTCCAGTTTGTCCAACGTCTCGCCAATGCTGTGCAGCTCTGGAAATTGAGCCAAAATGTCGGCGTAAGTCCCGTCCCCAGCGATGCGGCCATCTTGGACCACTACAATCTTGTCGGCGTGCTTGAGAAGGTCGTAGTGGCTATTGAGCACCAACAAGCGGGTCTTCTCCCTTGCAAGGCCCATGATGCAGCGATTGAAAATGGCGTGGGCGACGTGCGGGTCCACAGCACTCAGCGGATCGTCGAGAATTAAGATGTCATAGCTCGAGTGGTAGACAGCTCTGGCGATGGCAACGCGCGCCTTCTGGCCGCCGCTCAGGTTGATGCCTCGCTCGCCGATTTCAGTCTGATCACCGTCCGGCAGCGCGTGGAGATCCAGCGCCAACTGAGTCGCCTCGAGCACCGCCGCATACTTGCCAGCGTCAAACTCCTCCTCGAACAGGATGTTGTCCTTCACGGTCGCATTGCGGATCCAAGCTTCCTGGATCACGTACGACAGACCCCCACTGACGTCGACAGCGCCGTCGACCAAGATCATTTCTCCCAGGAGAGCACTGAGCAGACTCGACTTGCCAGCTCCTACGGTTCCCACGATCATGACAAGAGACCCGGAGTCGATCGCGAGGTTCACCCCTTCAAGTGAAAATTCGTGCAGCGGCGGCACAAGAGTTTGCTCGTCGCCAGCCACGTCACTGTTGGCAGGACTGACCACGACAACGTCGGGTCTTGCAGACTTCGGAGACCACGTGAAGTGCGCGTTGCGAACTGAGATCGTGCCAGCTTCGGCCGAAGCCTCCCAGTTCGTTGAGGCCTTGGAATCGTGAGCACTGGAACCCTTGACTTCATCGCAGCCCAGATATGCGTCCATGCGTCGATACGTGACTGAAGCTTGGGAGAGCGAGGCGACGGCGAGGGGGAACATGTTGACTGCCAACCGCGTGATGTTCACGACGTTGATAATGGTGTACGCATCCGTGACAGTCACAGTGCCGTTCAGCCCCACGTAGATCCCCATGACCAGACCTCCAAGAAACACCGGCGTGAGGAAGAGCAGGATGGTGTTGGTGATCTGCAGGTAGTGGAACTTGCGGTAGAATTTAATCTCCGCCGCTCGGATCCTCTCGACGCGCGTGGCCAGCGACTCCTCCCAGGCGTAGAACTTCATTACGCGAATGCCCTGCAGCGCCTCGGACGTAACCTTCACGCGCTCCTCTGCGACTTGGAGCAGCTCCTTCTGGACGGCGCCGATGTGCTCAGCCAGCTGCAGCGACGTGTACAGCACGATCACGAGTAGCGCAGCCCCACAGACGGCCGAGACGCCGTCAAACATGACGCCGATGAGGACGATCGTGACGATGAACGAGAGCGGCGCAACGAGAATCCACGGGCCGTTGATGACCGCAAAGAAAATGCGCTCCGAGTCGACGCTCATCAGCGTGGTGATCTCCCCCGTCGTGTAGGCCTGGCGCGCAGTGCACGACAGGTGGAGCGCCTTGCGATACACGGTGTCCATGGCGATGGCGCGCATGTTGGCGCCCACGCGCGAGGAGAGGAAGAAGCCGTAGTTGAGGCACGTGATGCCCACGAAGGAGACGCCCACCATGAGCGCCACCAAGACGTAGCCATTGTCGATGTGGAAGAGGTTCGACTGGTCCTCCAGGTACTGCAGGATGGCCTTGGCGATGAAGGGTTGCAGCACCATGGCCGTCATGTAGACGCAGTAGTTGCCGATGATGGTCGCGATCTCTCGGCGGAAGGCTCTGAGGAAGCCCATGGCCACGTGCGGCAGGTTGAGCAGCTCCGTCTTGTGCGGCGCGTAGTGAGGGCGGAAGCGGTCGTGCAGCTCCTGGCACGAGTCTTCGGGGGCAACGGCCCAAATGTCCTCCTTCCCGAGCACCTTCTGGGCCCCGAGCGACACGAGCGGCTGCAGCCAGTGGGCCGAGATGACCGACAGCAGCGACGCGCGCTGCAGCGGGTTGGCTCGGCAGCGGAACGGCGGCTCTTGCGCGTATCGCTCGGCCAGGCGCAGCGTGCCGGGGCGCTTGGCGTCGGCCCGCGGGCCCGTGTTGGGCGTGGGTGGGGCCGCGACGTAGTGGCTCGAGTCCATGGAGCCGTCGACTGTGGGGTTCGCCGCCAATTCGGGAATGGCGCAGGATAAGGAGGCGATTGATGCCAAGCAGCCAGCCAGCCACTTCGATCATTCGTAAGTTGAAGTGACGGCCGGATTAAGTCTAATCGGCGCGATTGATGAGATCTGCGGCAGATCTCATCAGATCATCTGCCGCCTTTCGTGTGGTTACAGGGGTGCAACGCTCGACGGCTGTCGCTCGGCCAGCGCTGAAACGATGGCTACCTGGGCCCTGCTCAGCGAGCTGCCATTGAGATAGTAGGAAGACGTGGCCACGAGCAAGACTGGCGAGGCGATCATCTTTGCCGGAGGATGGAAGGAGCTAGGCATCGATTGGGAATCTAATCTGTACTGGATTGGTCGAGCACTGCGAGTAGCTCGTCTCTAGCTCACTTGAACTGTTATTGACATGAAGCAAGTCGAACGTCCCAGCCTGCATGTAGAAGGCGTAGACGGCAGTGCTGCTGCATTGGAGCACGAGCTATACGACTCGTTCTACGGGTAGAAGTTCGAGTCGATCAGTTACTGTTCCATACCACGCATTATTTGGTACGCTACGTTATCTTATCGTTTGCCTTTTTTCAATTACAGCACTTTTAATCACTGACTATCTTGAATTGCGAAATTACTACCTCCGCCGTCGGAGAAACTACTTGGAATAAGTATGATGAAGTTACCCAATAAAATTGACGTCTATTTTAAGTTTCCGTAATTACTTCTTTGACCCCTCTAACGGCCCTCCACGTCGAATCTAGCCCCGTATGTAATGATGACCACAACACTTTGAGCGATGGACCTGACGGTGGACGGCGGCGGCGGCTCCTTCGCGCCCGCGGCGGCGGCCTCCGCCTCGAGCTCGCTGCTGTTTCTGCTCCTGCTGCGCGCGCTGCTGCTACACTCGACGCGCGACTTTTCGGCGCTGGCGCAGCTGCTGCTGCTGCAGCTCGCGCTCCGGCTGGCCGCTGGCTCGCGCAACGCAAGACGTCGCCCAGCGCTGGGGCCGCAACGCGCAACGTTGGACGCGGCCAGGAGACTCGCAGCGCTGTACGTGGGCGTGCAGGCGCTGCGCCACTTCGGGCCGCTGTTGGCCTTCCTGCTGCAACACGCGCAGCCGCTGCAGCAGCAACTCAAGCGCTGGCGCAACGGCGACGCGAACGACGCGCTGCCGCTGCTGCTGGGCTACGTGCTGGTGGCCGGCGTCTCTGCGGACGAGTACGGGGCGCTGCTGCTCACGCTGCTGCTCCTGGGGGCGGCGCTGGGGCTGCAGCTGGCGGCCGAGAGCCCCGCGTTGAGGGCGACGGCCGCTGACGCCGACGCGTCGCCCCTGGCCATCGCCATTGCAGCGGGTACGGCCGCTCTGCTGGCGGTGCTGACGCCCGAGAGCGTCGCCCACGCCCAGCAGATCGCCAACGACCGGGCGAGCGCTGACGGAGGCGTCATGAGCACGTCCACATGGGCGTTCTACCTGCTTTTCACTGCTGGGGCTCAGTTTACGGCCGCGTTCTTCGACGGGAAGCTCCGGTCGCTGTCGTCGATAGACCAGGCCAGGGCGCAGCTATTGGCATCGACCACGGGGGTGGCGCTGGCGGTTGTTGCTGCAATTTGGGAGCGGGGCTGGTTCCGCGGCGTCTTGAGCGCGATGGCGAGCGGTTTGATCCTCTTTGTGCTGCTGAAGCGATGGCGGCGTGTAGGGGGTGCGCCGTTGGGAGGAGGAGGAGGAGGGAGGGGAGGAATAAGTGCTGATAGTGAGGTGTATCTGGACACGTACCGATCCAGCGCTGGGTTTGATTCGAAGGGTGGACTGACGAACAGCGCGAGCCACGTTCTGGGCGTGCTGTGGTCTAAGCGCACCTCGCGCCAGATGCTGATCTTCCTGTCGGTCAACGTCGCCTTCATGTTCGTGGAGCTGGGTGTGGGGCTCTACACGAACTCGCTGGGGCTTATGGGCGACGCTGGGCACATGCTATTTGACAACGGCGCACTCGTGATTGGCCTCGTGGCGTCCTACATTGGGCAACTGCCGCCCGACGCCAAGTTCACGTACGGCTATGGGCGTGTGGAGGTTCTGTCGGGCTTCTTGAACTCGCTGCTGCTGCTTGTGGTGTCGTTCCATCTGCTGACTGAGGCTGCGTCGCGCTTTCTGGATCCCCCCGAGGTCGCCACGAACCATTTGCTGCTCACATCAACGGCAGGACTGGTTGTGAACCTTGTGGGTCTGTTCTTCTTCCACGACCACGTACACGGACACAGCCACAGCCACGGCGGCGATTCAGCCTGTGGCGGTGGCCACGGACATAGTCACGGGAATTCGCACCACCAGGCCCATGGTGAAGACGCCTCCGAAGACGGCCACCACGGTAGCAACAGCAACATGTACGGCGTGTACCTCCACGTGCTGGCCGACACGTTGGGCAGTGTGGGCGTGATCATTTCGTCGATACTGATCCAATTGTACGAGTGGCACGTGGCCGACTCGGCGTCCTCCGCGCTCATCTCGCTGTTGATTTTGGGCAGTACGCTTCCTCTGTTGCGCGACACTGCTCGCCAGCTACTGCAAGGGGCTCCAGAGGACATGGAAGGCAGCGTCAATGCGGCGCTACACGAAGTGCAGGCGTCAGTATCCGGTGTGGAGCGCGTTGCGCAGTGGAATATCTGGCACCACGCAGGAGACATGTGCGTCGCCACCTTGCACCTCGAGGTCTCCGCTTCGGCGAACGAACAGCAAGTGCTCCAGCAAGCTCGAACGATCTTCCGGCGCCATGCACGGCTCGACAAATTCCTGTCGGTGCAGATTTCAAAGCCGCAAGTACTTGCCGCGATGGGAATGGACAGCGCAGGCGCTGAGCAGACGACGGTGATGAATGGCTGCAGCGGCGGCCACTCGCACTCCCACGGGCATGGGCACAGCCATGGGCACCACAGCCATGGAGTGGACTCGATGCTGGAGGCACACAATGGGTTCCCCTCGCAGCAACAGCAGCAATATGGTTACCGACAGCAGCCAACGGGAGCTTCGATGAGTACGCACGAGAACCCCGTGAGTGACGACTCTCGCTACGTCACGTCCCCAGAACTGCCAGTGAAACCGCTTATTGGTCACGCGCATGGACCCCAGTACCATCCACGTTCACCCTCCGTGTTGGCTCCTCCCCCGGCCGCTCCTTTCCAGCACAACCACCAGCAGCAGCGACACCAGCAGATCAATTCCTCGGGGTTTTCAGCTGCGCAGCGCTGGTAGCGCGTGAAAACTTCCGAAGTCTATGATATGACTCCGCCATTCGACACCAGTTATCAATCAGTTTTGCCTTTTGTAGCCATTTGAAATAGTGATCTTGGAGATGTACGCGTGCGGGTTGACCACCAACGGATCGTGTTTGACGTTGGAGCTTGGGGGGACTATTTTCAGTGGGGACGAACATGGTGGCGTTGTTAGGTTCGTCTATTCCCGTCGCTAGTCTCGCGTGTCAGGTCATGCACTCTTCCAAGCCAGCAGCAGCAACATGAGCGACGACCGGATTGCAGTGAGCAGATCATCCTCCGATGCATCGCCTTCTCTCCTGCTCGTGGATACGCGCGCGTCTCAGTCGCTCGAGCCGATTCGTCTACCGGCCAAGCTGCGAGATCGGATCGAGCGAGCTCAACGTCGTGCCAACGCCGCCAAGGAGGGCGTCTCCATCTTCACCAAGAATTCCAAGGACTCGGCGATCTCTGGGCCTCCAGGCGCAGCAGCTAGAAGAAGTACCACAGCTCCAGCAGCGGAGACCACAACGGCTGCAACCTTGGGCGAAATTGGGGACCGCCACCGTGCTTCGGCTTTAAGCGATGAGAAGATGCACCTGCCCGACGTCGTGCTTAGCCACAAGATGAGGGACTTTGAGGCTCGCGCGAACACAGGAGGAGGTGTAGCGCTCTTCTCAGTGGAGCCAGCCGACCGCAGCCTGCAGAGGCTCTCGCTGGAAGACCGTGAGCGGGTGATGCTGGTGATGCAGAGGAAGATCCAACAAATTGCCAGCGATGTGGACGCAAACTTTGCGCGCATCACGAAGGCGCTGGATGCGAACGGCATTTTCGACTCGACTGCCAACATCCAACGTGCTCAGACTCTGTGTCTCGTGGACTTGCAGCGCCGGTGTAAGCTCGATCGGCTGCGTGATGAGGCAATGCGGGAGGTGCTGCATATACCGACGTCGCCCAAGAGGAAAAACTCCATGTATCCCGGCCAAAGTGCCTTCCCTCAAGCCTCCCACAAGCTCAGCCAACTGCTGAGACCATCGAGTCGAGCGACATCTGCCGGGACGGCATCGGTAGCACGAAGTACAGCAGCGACCAAGCGGAGGAAGCGCAAAGTGGTCCAAGCGTCGAAACTTCCAGCTCTGCGTGCTACAGAAGGCAGTCCAAGCAGGAGATCTAGCAGTAACAACCAGACGTCACCCTCGCCACTCTCGCGCCAAGACGCTCCAGCTAACGACGGTAATCGCAGTCCAAGCGTGCTGAGGATGCAAACGCGCCGCGGGGGACTCGCGCCGCCTTCAACCAGTGCACAGCTCGCACGAGAAGATGTCGGATTCAATACGGCGCCTGCCAACACGAACGCCAACGACGGGGATCTGTACGCGCGACACCCTCACGTGGCGCAGGTGCTGCAGTTGTTAGCTACAGGCGAGAGCTCGAATGCCAAGGCGTCTGGCCTCTTCAACGTCAACAGCGCCGAAGCCGACATGGAGCACGTTCGAATGCTGGACCCGGCCGACGAGTGGATGCAACGCTCTCCAAGCTACCAGGCAGTCGGCGCGCGGGGTGCTAAAGCGCTTCGTCGATGTGGTGAGCGTCAGCGCTGGGATACGCTGGGGCACTTCGGCTCCAAGTTTGTGTGCTCAGGTCTAACGTTTATACCCGTGGAGCTCCGTCAGCGGCTCGAGGATCAGCATTCCTACTGGAAGAAGGCCCAGGACACGTCAAGAAGTGGCGATGGTGACGAGAGTGGCAGGGCGGTGGACGCTGGCAAAGCAGGTGGGCAAAGGGACAGCGAAGTCTATGCCGAGCTCCAGGCCCGCATCCGAGAGCGTCTTATCGCTAATGAGAGGCGAACACGGACAGCAGCTGCAGCTGTGCGGGCGACAAGCAAGATCCACCAGTTACGCCTCCCACAGACAGCGCCAGCGAAGATAATGGCAGCTTCAGCCTCGGCAGTATCACTACCGGTGGCCGGGAACCAGCCACAACACCCCACAAGTCCTTCCTCAGGCCTAGTGATCTCCGCATCCGAGCCAGCTCTACCCGTTACCACGACTATGGGGGTAGAGTTCGCCACGCCAGGGGCAGATAGCCTTTCATTGTCACCCCAAAGGCGCTCTCGACTTGGTACACGCGGGTGGTTGTCGATGCTGGAGCAGAAGATCATCGTGAATCCGTCCCAGCCGATCTCAAGGCATGGCCGGCGGAAAGAGTCGCTCATCGGTGCGCCTCGAGGTCAACTGGACGTCGATGCGATCGGCCGTCACTCGGAAGCCCGGTTAGCCTATCGTAGGGATACAGCCCAGACCTGGGCGTGGCATCTACCGCCTGGAGCCGCTTCTGGTAATGGGGTCGATACGATTGCGGAGGACGAGGAGGAGAACAACGAAGAGAAGGACAGATTCGACGAAGATGGTTGTGATCAAGGTGATGAAGAGGACGACAGCGAAGAAGGAGACGAGGGAGAAGAAGGCACTGAGTACGGCGATGACGACGTGGAGAGTGTCGACAGCAGTCGCACCAGCTTCTCGGCTCGTAGCTCGATGAGCATGTCGTCCGTCAAACGGCGCACCGGCAGTGGCAACAGCAGGAGAAACAATGGCAAGGGCAAGAGGCCGCCGGTTCTGCAGCATCGAGCAAGTCGCGGCCCAGGAGGTCGCTCGGCGGGGAACGCCCTAACCGGTCATGCTCTCAGTCTTCACGCCCGGTTGGAGGCCATCTGGCGAGTGCTGCAGTTCCCCTTCTCGAACAAACTGGCGATGCTGGAGCGACTTTCAACTCTGCAAGACGCTGACGCGTTTCTGGCGGCTCTGGAGCACTGGGAGCGGGTCACTCCGCTCGTGGCGATCCGCCAACGCATGAAGCTCGCCCTCTCTGGATTCGCTGAGCGCGGGGATCTGCGCCCGAATGAATGGCTCACTACATCAGAGTTCTCTCTGGTGGCGGCGCTGCCTCAACCCTCGAGCAAGAACTTACCCGAGTCAAACTCGGAGACGCTGCCGCCATTCAAGCCCTCGACTCGAGAGTTCGACTCGATGTCTCCATCCGCCTTCGTCACCTGGGTGCGTCTTGAAGCATTATATATGCTAGTGGCGAGTATCTGGTGCTAATGTTGTTGTTTGATGCTGGTGCTGTAGGTCCGTGACCACATCGATGCGGTGACACTGCAGATACAAAAGCTAGGGAGCGAGCTTAAAGCCCACACAGGAGAAGAGCTTCAGTTCCAGGGCCATCCATACCCACGCCACGTTTAGATAGATGTACAATACAGGTATCCTAAGTAATGGTGATCATGGCGGCACGCGAGTGTATTAGTTCTTACTGCTCGCCTCTCCTTGGAGTGCTTTCAATGCGAAGGCGACGCATAGCTCAAAACGATACAAGTAGAATTTACTCCTACTTGTTGGCCTCGTTCTGATCGCTTGGCGTAGACATGGAGGTGTCTTGCTGGTCTGCCCACGCTTGAATTGCAGCGAGTAGAGCACCCACACCTAATTGATCGTTCACACACACAAGCGTCAAGATGCGGTGATGTCGGCTGCGGGGGTTATTGCGCCTACCGTCTCCAAATGCGAGCTTGCCAGCTCCGGCGGCAGGGTCCAAGCCGAAGTTGGCCATAACGGCGTTGAAGTTGCCGGTTTGCAGAGCGCTGACCAGCGATCCGATGCTTTGACGCAGTTGAGGAGATCTCAACTGACAGAAAGAAAAGCAGCGAGCGAGAGTAAGCACCAGAATACGAGTTCGGCCACTAAGAAAGTTTCATCAGGTTACCGTCGCACGAAGCTCTGCTGGGGTCTGCGAACCCTCAGGCAGGTGCAGTAGTAGCGCTTCAACACAAGCTGGGTCGTCAAGGATGCTAGCCACGTTGTCGGCGCTGAGAAGTTTGGTCAGGGACACCGGCTTCGGTTGCTGTGAATAGTATTAGTACGACAGACAATGAGTTTGTTTAGTGTTCGAGGTGGCAGCTCCATCGCACAACAAACACGAAAGCAAGGAACTAACCGTGAACTGCTGGAACGACGCCATCGCACGCTGGAGATCTGCCGTTGTAAGGGTCCCAGCAGCATCAGTCGCAGGTGCTGGTGCAGCCGGTACAGGCGTAGCGGAGGCAGCAGCAGGGGTAGCTTGGGCGGGGGCTCCAGCAGGAGTCGCGGCTGGTGCTGACGATGCCGGGGTCGTGGTGGAAGCTACTACAACAGTTAAGAACGACGACAATACACAGGTTCATCAATACCAGGTCCGCCGTGGTCGTCAACAAACCCAAAGCAGCAGCAGACACAGCTAAGCAGTTGGCAGCAAGCCTACAAATGGCAGCAGCACAACAGAACACACAAAAACGTCAGAAAAATCTTAGTGTCAACAACAACATGAAGAAGCACTACTCACGTGGTGGAAGGCGTTAGTTAGTAGGGAGAGGAAGCCGCAGAGACAGAACAAATGGAGTACTTTGTTGTCGAATTACAAGCTACCTACCCGAGCAACGGGCACAAGCCAAGCCTCCCATCCGCTCTCAACAAGCTTAGGACGAGGTGTCCATGTTGCCTCCACCGGTGCCACTGCCGCTGTTGCCGCCGGGTCTGTTGCCACTCTGCGCGTCACTGTTGTTGTTGTTACCTCCGGCGTTGGGGTTGGTGCTGCCTCCGTCGCGCATGCTCTCCTCGATGGCCAGGCGCAGCAGCTCGTCCTCGTCCATCTCGTCCACCTCCATGCCGCTCACGTCGTGCTCGTGCTGCGTGGACGCCGTCGTGGCCGCGGCCGAGCTGCCGCCGCCGTTCTGCGACGCCTGCGAGGACGACACGGCTGACGTGGCGGGCGACGAGGCCGCCGACTGGGCGCCCGCGGGCAGGCCCATGTTCTGCAGGATATTCTGCAGCTCCGACATCTGCACGGCCTGGCCGCCGCTGCCGGCACCGCCGCGTCCCTGGTCGCCCGCGCCCATGGCGCCCAGCATCTGCATGATGGCGTTGTGGTCCAGCTGCACGTTGCTGCCGGCGCTGCGGCCGCCGCCGTCGCTGCTGGCGGCCGCCTGTGCGTTGTTCATGCAGTCGTTCACCTTCTTCACGAGCTCCTCGTCGCGAGACGCGTCCTTGTTCTAATCAGATGCAGGTACAGATACAGACACGTTAGCACGTATCCTACCTACCCAATTCATTGCCGGAGACTCATGGATCGAGGCAACTGTGTTGTTGCAGTTGCCGTCGCAGGTTTAGCACTAGCCTAACCGGCCGGCAACACAAAAGTTGCAGTCGCTGTAGCAATTGCCCTCACCTGCATCCAGAAGAAGAAGCGGCGCGAGGAGTTTTTGTACTGCAGAATGAAGACGCGGTCCTCGGGGCGGCCCGTGTCCACCTTGGCGAAGTGCGCGTCGTCGGGGAAGATGATGAAGTCCTCGGGGCTGGCGCCCGTCTGGCGGTCCACCCACTGGAAGTGCAGCAGCTGGTCGTCTCCGCGCGAGAGACACACTTTGCCCTTCTCCAGCTGCGGCGTCACCAGGAACTTGCCGTTCGCCGTGGGCTTCACCGTCATCTTGCCGGCGTTGAACGACACCAGCTCGTTCTGCTCGCAGAAGAGAAGAGAAGCGGGTAGACACTCGGTTAGAGGAGGCAGTCGGGAGAGAGAGATAGGGGTGCGCGCCACGTACGCGGCCTGCGGTGCTCGGCGCGCCGAACACGTTGCCGAACTGCGGGAAGAGCGACGCCATTTCCGCTTTACGTTGTGGAAAAGATACTGAGGCAAAACAACGTCTGATTGGTGCAAACGCGTAAATAACATACCGTAACGAACGTTATATTGGGCCGGCAGACAGCAACACCATGGCCGACCAACCACCTCGGCGATTGACTGGCGCTCGGTATGGCCCTTGGCGAGTGGTCGGCGCGCCGTCGGCGGCAAGTGCTCAACTACCACGACGTGCAGCTGTACGAGTCGGACGTGGCGCTCTTCTCGGGGCGGCAATGGCTCAACGACAACGCCGTCAACTTCTACCTGCAGTTCCTGACGCAGACCGTGGCCTCGGACGACGTGCTGCTCATGGACCCGGCCGTGGTCTCGTGTCTGCTGCACCAGTGCGAGGATGAGGACGAGTTCCAGGACCTGGCGAGGGGCGTGAACCTGGCGCAGAGGCGGCTCTGCCTCGTCCCAGTGACCGACAACGACTTGCTGGGCGGAGACAGCAGCCACTGGTCGCTCCTACTCTTCGCCAAGGGCGAGTTCAGGCACTTTGACTCGAGCGCGGGCCACAACAGACACGCGGCTCGGCGCGTGGCGAGGTCCTTTGAGCATCTGCTCAAAGCAACAGGTCGGCACGACGGAGACGGCGCTGCCGACCGAGTGGAGGAGGTGCAGGACGCCCCGCAGCAGCAGAACGGCTACGACTGCGGCGTGTACGTGCTGGTGCTGGCCGAGTACTTCTGTCGCCGGCACGTGAACGCAGCGGGGGCGGAGGCAGCGACGCTGCAAGAGTACGCAACCCCCAAGCGAGTGACGGAACTGCGGCTGCACATGCCCAAACTCATCGCCGAGCTGCAGCGGACGGAGGCCGGGCGAGGCTAATGGGCTGCTGGGCTGCCAGGAAGGTAGGTAATTGGGTAAAAATGGATTGCTCAAACCCTTCGCACAAAGAAATTTTCGGCAAGGATGCAGATCGCTATCGTGCAGTATGGTGCGCTACGGGCTGTGAATATGAGGAGGGAGTTGGCAGGGGAGTTGAAGCGTTACTGAAGGTTGCTGTGCTGCGGTTGTGTACCCGGGGCTGCGCTCTTGCAGACCCGCAGCTCGGGCAGGTCGAGCGCAACATGGAGGTTCGTGCTTGGGGGGGGGGGGCTGATACATTCTCATGATGCTCATTGATGCATTGACGCTAGATGGTGTTCTGTGTGTCGCTGTAGCATGTGAGCAAGATGGTCGCGTCGCTGTCTGAAGAAGACAAAATCGACATCTTGATGCTGTCGGAGGTGGGCCTCAATTCTAGCGGGCTGATGCGGAAGCTCACTGATGTCCTTGCGCTTTGATGGCATCCCACCTGCTAGATGGCGTTCACTGGCTACGTGTTCAAGACCAAGGAGGAGGTGGCGCAGGTGGCGGAGGTAGCGGGCCAAGGACCGACTTTCCGCTGGTGCCAGCGCCAAGCGCGGCGACTGCACTGCATGGTGACCTGCGGCTACGTGGAGAAGGCTGGCGTGCTGCTCTACAACTCGATGCTAGTCGTGGGTCCCGACGGCGAGCTGGTGCTCAACCCGCGAAAGACGTTCCTGTACGAGACCGACAAGTCCTGGGCCACAGCGGGGGACGGCTTCTGCTCGTGGCACTGCCCGTGGCTCAACAAGACCATCTCGTTCGGGATCTGCATGGATATCAACCCGGACGACTTCAAGGCTCCGTTCTCGGCCTACGAGTTCGGCTCCCACGCAGTGGATAACAAGAGCGACTTGCTGCTGTTTGCCTGCGCCTGGAACGACTTCGAGGAGCACGACGTGGCGCCGTACCCGACGCTTTCCTACTGGGCACAACGCTTGACGCCAGTCATAGACGCGCTGGCCGCAGGCGACTACGCGAAGCCCAACTGCCACTTCCTCTGCTCGAACCGAATCGGCTCTGAGAATGGGACGTTCTTCGTTGGCGCGAGCTGCGCTCTCTCGCTCAAAGAGCCCGCTATAGTGGCGCACGCTGGGCGGCGGACGGAAGAGCTGCTGCGCGTGGAGATCCCTGGCGATGCAAGCGAATCAGAGTAGCTGCCGTACATGGAGCTGGCCACGTTAACCATAACAAGGAGTGCTGTCGCCGCAATTCTCCTTATGACTAAAGTCTCTATGCGGTCCCTTGTTTCAAGCTCTCCGACTACAGCGTACGTGTACGCTTTCAGCATAGGGATCGCACTTGACGCATGAGGGGTTAGTCGTGTACTGTTAGTCGTGTACTGTTAGTCGTGTACTGTTCCAGGAGCAACGAACCAAGCACTACTGTGCACGGCAGCCACGGCGTGTTTTCGAGCGGTGGTGAGTGCGTCGACTCCTACAGGGCAGCAGGCAGAATGCTACGTGTAAGCAAGTAAGCCATCACTTGCATTCCAATGACTCGGCCGACTATCATCCACGCCAGGTAGTTGAGTTTTGCGTTGCCACCAGCTCAACAGCTCAACAACCGGAGCGACTTTTACCATCTCTCTTCAGCGCTTGCAGCCAACAACACTGCAACTCCTTGAGCTTTCACGCTCAGCCGCAGCGCGCTTCTGGGCCCTCCGGGGCCGCACAAAAGGCCTTTTCCGGGGAAGCGGCGTCCCGAAAAGACGGTAAACGGCCGTGAAAAGGGTCATCGGCGGAAAAGGGTCCTCGCGCGCGGGCTGCAGCACGCAGATCGCGTACGTAGCTGCTGTTTGTAGACGAGAGCGCGTTTCGGCGGGGTGCAAGTTGATGCGGAGTGGCGGTCGGACCAGCTAGCGACGAAGCGTCCCTGCAAATGGACTACATGTACGACTGCCACGCGCCTACTTCGCTATATGAGTAGGAGTGCCATGTTAAAAGAGTCGCGCTGCAGCTAGGCCCCGCTGCGCCGTCCTTGCCAGGCACTGTCCAGGCAAGTCGGCAAAGTCGGCGGAGACCAATGAAGTTGCCTTTTGGCCTGTCTGTGCGACGGGCAACTTCTTAACTTCAACCTAGACTTACGTTGCTGGATGAAGAACGCCCACCGGAACTGTGCTCGTGCTCGTCACAGAGTGGGCGGACCTGGGTTCGTTCAAGGGATGGCGGAGTAACTTGACGCAATGGCTACGCGGTAGCGATAATTGGAGGCTGAAAGGGTCATGAAGTTTGATCCTTTGGCTCGATTGTATAGGTCCAAAACGTTATAATGCGAGTAGCTAAAGGATAAGCTACCAACTTGTGGTAGTTTGTAGGGAACTAGCTGTTGCTAGTAGTGTAAAAATTACGGAGTTCGGGACCGAAAAAGCTCGACTACATGTGCTCTCTGTAAGCCGCGACGATACTATTGAGCCCAAGAGTGAAGACTTGAAACTCGCGTACGCTTGCTTGGCTCATGCGGCAGCCGTAATGGAACTTCGAGATAAAGAACGTAACAGAGTACTACTTCTCTTTCCGATCGTCTGCGGCTCAATAAAAAACACCGACAGCAGAAGTTTAGGAACCGAGTCGCCAAAAGGTGTTTCAGTCTTCAACGTCAGTTGCGTTATACCGCTTAGAGCGGCACCTTCGATTGGAGGGTATACAGAAAGTCCTTGCGATCATGAGACCTGTGCTTGTCGACCACTACAATACTCAACTTGCATGCTGTTCGTCGGAGTCGCATTGGCTAGCCTTTTCAACTTTATACGGGATTCGAGGTCGCATATTTGACTCCGCGATTCCTCCTTTTTACAACGTGGGGGATATACTCTGCTGTTATATTTTGGAACTTATGCCGCGACCGGTAGCAACGGCCATAAGTGTGCACTCGGGGCGTTCTTCGTTCTTTAGGTCCCGACTGCAGTTTTTCGCCACCACCTCGCTATTAAAAACGAACGCACTAAGTCATTCAGTCCCTATTTAGAGGGGCTGAATGAGTTGCGTAGGTCCGGATACGGGAACGAGTCACTGCTTGGCATGTGAAGCATCCAAGAGGGTGGCTTGTTGATCTCAGTTAATGAATGCAGCGCACACAGCTCAGCGATAAACTACGTGGAGAAGCTGACCCAGATGGCAGCCGAGCGGGGCAAAACACCACCCACTCTGTGAAGTGTTGCTTCGCCTGACGAACACAGTTCCGGTGTCGGCTTTGGCGGGCGTTCTTCATCCAGCAACGTAAGTCTAGGTTGAAGTTAAGAAGTTGCCCGTCGCACAGACAGGCCAAAAGGCAACTTCATTGGTCTCCGCCGACTTTGCCGACTTGCCTGGACAGTGCCTGGCAAGGACGGCGCAGCGGGGCCTAGCTGCAGCGCGACTCTTTTAACATGGCACTCCTACTCATATAGCGAAGTAGGCGCGTGGCAGTCGTACATGTAGTCCATTTGCAGGGACGCTTCGTCGCTAGCTGGTCCGACCGCCACTCCGCATCAACTTGCACCCCGCCGAAACGCGCTCTCGTCTACAAACAGCAGCTACGTACGCGATCTGCGTGCTGCAGCCCGGCGCCAACCAACCAACCAACCGCTGCTGTAGATACAGCTCCGCGGCGAAGCGCTGGTCGCCAATGCTCGGCACCGGGGACCACCGGTTGAAGATGTGCCAGCGGTGACGCGTTTGGGCGGCTGGCGGCGACGTCATTGCGATTCGTGACGTCGCACCCTGTCTGGTCTTTGTAACGGGCGACGAGTCGCACGTGGACTCCCGACTAAGTTCACGTCTGGTGCGGGTCACCGACGCCTTGTATGGTCCGACGTCACACACCGATACTTCAGCGGGAGATCTCAAAATGACGCGCCTGCGTCACGTTTCGGGTTGCGCGCGAGGACCCTTTTCCGCCGATGACCCTTTTCACGGCCGTTTACCGTCTTTTCGGGACGCCGCTTCCCCTGAAAAGGCCATTTGTGCGGCCCCGGACCCAGAAGCGCGCTGCGGCCCGCATTAACTGGTGCATGACGCGCCGCGCCGACTGTCGACGCATTGCCCGTTTTGCGCCGTCCCGCCCAGGCCATCTCGAGCGGCTTCAAGGCAGGCCGCGGACACCGAGCAGGCAGCAGCAGCAGCGGCAGCGGTAGTAGCGGCGGCGGACGGCCGGATGCGTGTGAAGAAGCTGAGCGTGAACCGGCGCCACAAACCAGGGGACGACGAGGCGGCCATCGGCGTCGCGCCCGGCGGAGACAGCGACCAGCGCAGGTGGGTCAGCCCTACCAAGCCGCTGCCACCCGGAGCGGCGGCCAGCGGCAGCAGCAGCGGCGCCAGCAGCCCCACGGACGTCCAGCAGCAGCAGCAGCAGCACCTGGGCGAGAACTCGCCGCTGCACTTCCAGACCAACAGCAGCCCGGAGCTCTTCGCGCATCGCGGAGCCGGCGGCGCTCAAGTCGCAGCAGCCATGCCCAACGCAGCAGCCGTGAACGTCGTGGCGCAGGAGGACGATCTGGAGAAGAACCCGCTGCGCAAGGCGATGGTCGGCAAGATCGTGGAGACCTTGCGCGCGCTCAAGCCGCACGCGCCCGAGAAGGTGCTGGCGGCGCTGCCCAGGCTGGCGCAGCACATGGAGAAGGCCCTGTACAAGCTGACCAAGAACGAGGCCGACTACTGCGACCCATCGACCCTGAGGCTGCGCATTGCCCGCATCCAGGAGAGCAACACCAAGCGGCTGCTCGCGCAGCAGCAGCAGACGCCCGAGCAGAGCAACAACGCGAACGGAGCTGCGCCACCGCTCAAGCCGCTGACGGAGGAGCAGGCCGCCATTGTCTTCCAGCACCTTCAGTCGTGGCGTCAGAAGCTGGTGAACATGTACGGCGTCGCGCCCTGGGACATCCTGCCCAACCCGACGCTGGCCAAGGTGGCTCTGTACATGCCTTCCACTGAACAGGAGCTCGCAGCGTGTGGCGTAGGGAACGAGCAGATAGCGCGCTTCGGCTCCTCTCTGGTGCAGGAGCTCCAGCGTCTTCGTGGGCCAGTTCCCGCGAGCACCAAGCCAGCGAACCGACCGATCAAGGCCAAGCAACCTCGCAAGCCCAGCCCCGCCAAGCGTGGACCTTCCGAGCCGCTGGCTGCCAGCAACAAGAAGCGGAAGAACGGGGAAGCCGCGCGTCTGGCGCCGGCAGCGCCAAACTTTAACGGCGCGTCGCTCATGACGCAAGCGCCACTTCTGCCGGCTGTGGACTCGCTTCCGACGCTGCTCCCGACGGTCTCAATGATGCCCGGAGGTGTCACGGGCAGTACCAGTGCCACGAGCAACGCGATGGCGATGAAGCAGACGCAGTTCACGTCGACGGCCGTGAGGTTATCTCCGGGCCAACTCCCACAGCAGCCGTTCTTCGCGCGGCTTCAGCCCCAGCAGCAGCAGCAGCAGCCTCCGCAACAGGGATCCCCCTCTCCGGCGGCGCAGGAGAGCCACATGCACCTGCTAGCGCAGGGCGCCGGTCAGGTGAGCAAGCAGCAGAGTGGCAAGAGTCCGGAGGCGTACGAGCAGGAGCTGCAGTCGCTGCGGTGGATGCTGCACCAGTCGCAGGAGGAGAGGTCTCGCCTGGAGGCCGAGGTCCAGCATCTGCGCGCCCAGCTGCAGGGCGTCAACGGCAGCAAGTAACCACCCCCCGTATTTAACTTTTGTGTATGTGGCGCCGATGTCCCCCTTATGGACGCGCTTCCTCTGGAGGACAACTGTAGACGGATAAGCTAGGTAGCGGTGCGAGATTATAAAGACCCAACTCCATGAAAACTTCTTCTACATCTCCACTGCTTCTATCAGTACACAGATCTGTACACCAGACTGTAGACTGTACATGTATATTCAAAGGGGAATTTGCAATTCAGGTTTTTGGGTGGGTCGGTCAGGCGTTTGCTAATCAGTCAGGACTTGTGAAAGTCAGAATTAGGAGAGCTCTACACTTATTTTTTTTTTTGGGGGGGGGGGTCAGAGAACTTCTATTTATGTTAAGCGGTAACTATAGAGTCCTGAAGTTTCTGCAGGCTGAGCCTAATTGATACGTTGTCCGGTGGCCTTCGTGGGCTAGTATCTCGTATACAACGTCTACACAAAAACTCTTGAAGTCTTGAAGAGAGGGTGCTAAAAGCGAATATCCCTGGGGCGACGGCGCCCGATCGCGACATTTTAATCAGCTTCGCTGCTCCAGAAACCTTTTGTATCTTAATTTTCTCCCACGTGTACGAATTGAATTGGTCGAAGAGAGTTGGTTCTTGCGGGCGTTGTTTCGCCGACAATGCTCCTTGCACAATGACATGCACCGTGCTAGGAATGGCGACTTGACGGAGAGTTTTGGTGGCTGCCTCCAGTGATTCATGAACCCAGGCTCGAGTCTCAACAGGTCCTTTTTTGATATGTACCCCAATGACTTCGACATCAAAAGCATGCACTTGGCTGGGTCCTAGTAGAATTCAAGCCGCTCGGCACTCATTTGGGTGTTTAACCACATGAATTTGGATGGCCCAAGTCTGCAAAAATAGTGGCCCCTCCATCGGCGGCACTCCCTTGAAGACACCATAGCATTGCGCTAGTCTGTACCCTTGTTCATACGTGGCCGCATTTGAAGTCCAGGACTTGATCACAGCTGTCGTTTGAAAATCCGCAGCCTTCCAAACTATTTGTTCCGCTTGTGTTTGGTGAATGCGCGCGTTTTCAAATATTTCTTTGTTGCGGATCCTCCAGAGCATGCACTGGGTACACGTCGTCCATATCAACCATAGTGCTTGCATTGCTTCATCTTGCTCTTGTGACCAATCTAGAACCATGTTTGCTGCCGCTGACATGAAATCAGGGGTTATCGGCGGTGCTACTCGAGACGCCGTGAAAGCCATCAGCTGGTCTAATTCGTATTGGGTTGGGTGATGTCCAAGCCACGAAGGAATCCACCGTCGCCAGACACTTTGAGCACGCTTGCAGTCCCATAAAATGTGCTGGCGAAGTCATACATTGGTCGTAAGAGCACTTGCGATTGCTAGGCCATCCTCCATGGTACAGGTTTAGGGTCCTCGTGCAAATTCGGTAGATCGTCCTGCGCTGATAGTCAGTCAAAACACCGTCTCGCTTCCAAATTCGTTGTGGGCTTTGTTGCTGTGCTGCAGCCATCCACGGATGTCCGTCTGCTGGAGCTTTCATCCGATCCAAAATGTGTTGAACAGAGAACTTTGGTTTGTGGCGGAGACGCTTCGCTCGAGTTTTCCGAATCGTTTGGCGGAGATTTCGAGCCAACGTTTTTGGCGGAGCGCGCCATGGCGTAGCATAGAGGAATGGAGTGGCCTGAAAAGCAATCCCTGAGGTCTTCTCTGTGCACTGAAGAGTCCTAAAGTCATCATCGAAACTTTCATCTTCGTTCCTGCTGGTGACTCTCCATGTCCATCCATCGTCATTTTGACTCAATTGAAAAACTTCTCCTCTTGGTGCTGTGAGGGCAAACGCAGTAACTTGATGATACCAGTTAGTGACCCATTGGTACTCCTTCAGGAGAGCTCTACACTTAGAACGGCTAGGCGGTTGCAACCGACGCCCATCCAGCATCAGCTCGAATTATCGTGTCGTGTACCAAGAACCTGTTGGCGCTTGTTGGCAAGAATCCGAGTCATGGGGGATGCAGACGAAGATATGGAGCTAGCCGTCGGCATGGAATTTCGCCAGTATCAAGGAGCTAAAGGCCAGTGTTGCGCGGTACTACATATCTCGTGTTTCGCCCACAACAAGCCCACAAACCGACGCGATTTCTTTGTTCATCGCATATTGAGTGTCCCTTTCAGCTTCGAGGATCTCTGTCTTCGAAGACAGGGGTTGTGCGGATAACATTTCTGGATGAAGCTCATTCCGCCACACACGTTGCACACACCGCCTTGCGGCAGCGCCAGCCATCTCAACTAAGCCTGGATTTCTTGGTGGAAGTTGTTCGCGATTGTATGGCGTGTAATCGGGATGGAAAGAGCGCGAAGCTAGTTGTGAACTGGGCGCGTAGAATGTACGGGCTCACCATTTCCTACAACGTGGCTTGGCGCGCGCTGAAACAGCTACAGGAGGGCTCCGTTCTAAGTCTCCAACAAAGCTACCAATTCCTACAAAGTTATTTGGACATGCTCCTGACGAGTATCCCAGGATCAGTTGCGCATTTCGAATGAACCACCAGCAACACGTTCAAGCGCCTGAGTCTCATCTACGGCATTTACAACGACACGCTTCAGTATTGTCTACCGATTATTGCATTAGACGCCTGTCATTTGCGTGGTGCGGATCACGGAACCCTCTACGTGGTGTCCACAATGACTGGTGCACACGACATTTTAGTCATCGGAGTTGCCATTTCGAATGCGGCTAAACGTGGGGAGGACTGGGCGTGGTTTTTGCGGCACGTCTTGGAGGCTTTGCCTTTTGTGAACAATATTTTTGGGCTGTTTTATATGAGCGACCGGGATGAGGGTGTTACTCAGGCCGTTCGTCGTGTTCCGTGTACCAAGATACGGCATTGTGACCTCGATTTCTGCAGAATCGGTGAATAGCAGTATTGGCGAGTTTAGGAGCGGATCTCACCTGAATGTGATTGCTGGGATAAATCAAATGGTCATGCGGAGATCCTTTGAGCTTCAACAGAAATACATCCGTCACGATGCGATGGACATCATACCATCCGTTTTGACCAAACTGAATGCCAGCAAGAAAGCAGGTCGTAAACGGCTTGTGGTGTCACAGGGAGATGGAACATTTGACGTTGCTCGAAAGAATGGCTTGTACCGGGTAGTAAACCTGGACGCTAACCACTGCACCTGCGGTCTCTGGGTGGAGTATCAGTACCCGTGCGTGCATGGCTGTGCCGCTCTCCAAAGCCAGCATTTGTCTGAGCTAGCATCGGTCTCGCCGTATTACCGATATGGATGTCTGCAATCCGTCTTTGCCAGGTTGATGAACCCAATCGATATCGAGTCGGCATTGGGGGACGATACGACAGAAGGCCCTCAATCATATCGCAAGGCTGGACGCCCAAAAAAGCCAAAACGCGTACGCAGGCGTGGAGAAGTTGTACCCGAAGATTCGCCGATTGTCTGTTCACGTTGTAAGGAGAGGGGTCACAACATTCGGACTTGCGACAACAACTTAACCCCAACAAGATTTTTTTAAGGATAAACATAAGGACGAAATTTGAGGCAACCCCTTTGACCTCATTTTTACACGTAAGATGCTATGACAGGTATGGATAGAAAGGTCTGTATTCGGTCTAAAGGGTGGGGCCTGTATGCGCTAGGGTTTTGATACCTTTGCGCAGCAGCTCGACCAAAAAGGTCACTCGGAGCGTATCGCTTTTTCGAGTTTATCCTTAAGTTAAGGACAAAAATAGCTTGGCCAATAGTAGAAACAAGTGAAACCGTCGGCGACCCTTCGCGTCCAATGTGAACCCACTGTCGGCCCTCTGTGACCGTACCTAAGTGCGTGTATACAAATGCTAAGATAATTTGTAATCCTTAACCGGCCAGTTAAGGACAAAATCGCCCCAAAATCGAGGCCGCCAGATTTGATTCTGTCTTTATTTTAAGGATAAAATTTGTTGGGGTTAAGCGGATGGAATTGTAACATCTTTCACACACTTTCACTCTCTTGTTTCTTTACGCTATACATTATTTTTTTGAATTCCGGCCAAATTTTCCAAATCGCGGCGGTTTGGAGACCCCGCTCCAATCGCCAAATACAAAACTCAAGTTATTTGCTCAATCTCCGGGCCCAAACCATATGGTCCAAGTGCCCGCATGTCAAGACCAATTCGTACTTAAACGGGTGCCTATAACCAATCCTAGTGGCCACGGAGATTGGCCGGAGATTTGGCTTGGGCGGTTCAACAAACCGCCCGCGGAAATTTTGAGCAGAACACACAATATTACAATACAAATATTGTGCCTTGCATGATTTCTGTCTAAACAACGACGTAATTCGTTGTTTAGCAAATCACGGTGATTAGCCCATCATTGAGTTAGGAGGCTAACTCGTCGATTTAAGATAGAATAGCTGCTAACACAACGAGTTAACGTTGAGTTATGCTCACTTTCGTCGAATGGCTGCAGTAAATCCGACAATACTACGGCCCTGACATTCTAATTCTAACTCGCTCGCTTTGTCTGATTGCTTTCTAGTCGTGGCGATCTATCGTACTAAACTATTATACGTCTACAATATTGAAGAACATCCCTGTTTTTATATCGAGGAGCTGCAAGCAGCTTTAAAGTCAGCGTTTCCTGCACATCCAAACATTTCTAGTAGAAAATTTCTACTGCTACTATATGCCGTGCTCTGAAATTCGAGCTTGGTTTAACGCGAATCCACGACGAAGAGAGCGAAGAAGAAAACGTCCCCGCCGAAATCGGTGCTTACTTTTATGCAAGGAGTTGGCACCATTCTATCGGGGACCTTATCAGTTTGTTTTCTTGCAGCGACAACCGATTTATTCTTGCAGTGGCAACCGCTCCGTTCTTGCTCTGCGTTGTGCGAGATATGATCACCGGGAAGGATTTGCTCGTTGGTTTAGAGCCCTTAATCGCATGCCAAAGTTCGTGCAAAGCACAATACATATTGACAAACTCTTTCACCTGTAGCTTTCCCTGTTGATCACGCGGACTTTCACAAGACTGATTAGCAAACGCCTGACCGAACAGCAAATACCCACCCAAAAACCTGACTGAATTGCAAATTCCGAGGTTTGGCGCCACTATTCCAGATCGAGAAATGCAGTCGCTGGTGGAAGGCCAGACGCTGCTGCGCGACGGCCGCTACCGCTTCCTGCGCCGCATCGGCAGCGGCACCTTCGCCGTCATCATGCGGTGCGTTCGTTCGTCGGCTCTGAAGCGTCAGCTCTCTTCGCTGGTCTCTCACCCACTCATTCGATTGCTGCTGCAGAGCTCTGGACGTGCAGCAGCAGCGCCACGTGGCCATCAAGTGTGTGCGGCAGCGAGGCCTCAACGCGCTGGGCGAGCGGGAAGCTGCAGCGCTGCGTCGAGTCAACGAGCGAGACGCGGACGGAGCCTGCGCTGGTGCGTCCCCTCCCTCCCTCCCTGGCCCTCCGATGCTGACTCTGTTGCTGCTCGTTGTTGTGCTAGTCGTTCGACTGCTGGAGACGTTCGAGGAGCAGGGCCACTTCTGCCTCGTACTGGAGCTGCTCGGGCCTCCGGTGCTGGACGTCGCGCGCTGGGGCCCGTGGCGGCAGGCGCCCGGCGGAGCGACGCGCGCCCCCGATCGCACGCTGCAGCTCTTCAAGCTCAAGCGGAGACGCTCATCGCTGTCTGCAGCCGGTGGCGGGATTCAGTCGCCGGAGGGACAGCGGGGGCCGGAGACGGAGCCATTGGAGGAGGATGCAGTTGTGTCAGCGCCACCTCTGTCCATTGCTGACGTGAGAGCGATGGCGGTGCATCTTTGCGGGGCGCTTGCGTTCCTACACGACCAAGGACTCATCCACGCCGACGTCAAGCCTGAGAACGTGGTGCGGTCAGGGGCTGAAGCTCCGCTGGAATCATCGACGTCGCCGTCGGCGTGCTCGTCCCCCGTCAAGTTGGTGGACTTTGGCAACTGCCTGGACGTGAGTGAGCTAGCGGCGTACGCTGAAGAGGAGGGGAGTGGCGGCTTTGACGTGCAGACAGTCACCTATCGCGCTCCAGAGGTGGCTGCGGGCCTGCTGCTTTGCTCTGCCGTGGACATGTGGTCCTTGGGCTGTCTGCTGCTCGAGTGCGTGACAGGCAAGCCGCTATTCACGCTGCCGGCGCTGGGAGCGTCCGTCCAAGAGCACGCTGATGTTGCCAGACTCGAGAACGACGACCTCTTGCAGCAGATCGAGTGCGTGGTGACGAATGGAGTTTCGCTGGCCGCGGCGTGCTCCCCATATCGATCTGCTACGCGGTACAAGGAGAACACTGCAGCAACTACAACAAGCAAGAGCGCGAAGAAGCAGGAAGAGTCAATGTCGCTGCAAGCGCGTCTGGAAGCTGCAGCGCCAGGGAGTCACCACTTCCACGACTTCATCTACAGTCTGCTGGACGTGAATCCGGCCACGAGAGCTACAGCAAAGCAGGCCTTGTTCCATCCCTTCCTCCAGGCCTTTTTTCCCTTTGGCACCGTATTCGCCGATTCAGGAGTCCACGACGCTGCTGGCCGAAGTATGGAGTCCAGAGCTACCCTTGGTCGAACTACAGGAGCGAAGCGTAAGGCGCGAGCAGAAGCAGCCCAGAAGAGTTCCAGTCGAGCACGAAAGAAGAAATCAGCTGAACGAGCAGCGTCAGCTCGAAGCAAGGACCTGCGTCAGGTGCTCAAAATCATCGCGCGCGACGTGCCTGGCCGCTCGTCGCTCTCACCTCGATGAGAGCTGGAGGTCTATTTGGAAGTCTAAGTTATAGCCGCTCTTGGTCGAGGCGACAGCACTACGGGTTGGGCTTTGCGATGGACTCGGGGTTTGCTGTAGCCGGTGTCGTGTACGTTGGGGTTGCTTCGGCGCGCTGGTCCCACGCAGCCTCAAAATGCCGAAAGCACACAGTCTTCGCCTCGATATCTTCGCGGAGTGCGCGGAAGGCGGCCTCCTTGCAAATTGCCGCAATGTCGGCGCCCGTGAACGTACGAGAACTGTCGATGCAAACGCAAGATAAGTGGCGTTAGTCGCAATGATGTATCGAGGCAAGTGCACAAGGTCAGTATGATACCCTCTAGGGCGTTCAGCAAGAGCTTGGATATCGACGTCAGCAGCCAGCGGCATCTTCCTGGTGTAATGAGCGAAGATGTCCTAGATCATCCACAGGAGAGAACGCTGTCAAGTCAAGTCCAAAGCGTGAAGCATTCGCTGGGCGCGTACCTGGATATCTTCTTGTGTCGGGAAGCCCAATTCAACGGTCTTGTCGATTCGCCCTGGGCGAATGAGAGCAGCATCAAGCGCGTCTTTCCGATTCGTTGCTGCTACCACAAGGATGCCCCCGCTTTCCGATGCAGCGAACCCCTTCGCATGCGAGACGGACGATGCAGTGACTCGTTGCGAGCCGACACCGTCCATCTCGTTGAGGAATGTAGACAGCACTCGCGCGTAAACACCGCCACCACTGCTTCCTCCGTCGCCCTCGCCGAACGAGCGCTTGTGGGCGATAGAATCAAACTCATCAAAGAACAAAAGGCAAGGCGCTGCTGCTCGTGCTCGGGCTAGACAATTACACCACGCAAGTGTTAGTTAATATAAAGTGATGACTGCAGATCAATTAACCACATACCAAAGAGTTGTCGGACCGCTTTCTCACTGTCGCCGAAGTATTTGGAGAGAAGTTCTGAAGACTGTGAACAAAAGAATTCAACGATACGAAACCATAAGTTTAGAACACAAATGAAGTCAAAGTTCTTGAAACAAAGCACGCACCTTCACCGACACGAAATTCACCTGAGCCTTAGCTGCCAACGTCTGTACCAGCAATGTCTTTCCGCAACCTGAGGGGCCTGACAACAAAATTCCAGACGCGTTGGAGATCCCCAAACGCTGCACAGGTTGCCATTAGTAAAGTACCGCAATACAGCAAGCCGATGCAGCAAACGTACATTCATCGCTTCAGTCGGGTGGAATTTCCACGAGACGAAGTCAAAAAGTTGCTTTTGGACGGCTGCGTAGCCGGCGAACACGAGTTTCCCATCTACTGGTGCTCCAGGAGATGCCACATTCAGCTCCCGAAGCTGCGATGGCTTGACCTGCTGCTGCGCGTGCAATAGCTCCGCCCATCCGACTGACGGCCTCCCCATAGAGCGACCATTGTCGATCGACTCGGCGTGAGCTTGGGCAGCCGCATTCCTACAGATCCTGACCAGGTCCTTCGCTACGTAGCCCCCAGTCAGTGTCGCTAAGCGTGAGGCCAGGCTCCCCGCATTGTCAGCAACTGGCATTTCTTCATCACCGCGCAGTGGCAGGCCGATGAGATGGCGCCTCAAGATCTCGCGACGTGACTGTTCTGTGGGAACAACCAAGTCCAACACCTTCCCAAACCGCCCTGTTCGCTTGGCAACAAGTGGCACATTTGCATCGGCACTCGTGGTCGTTCCGACGATAGCAAAATGTGCGTTGCGTGCGCTCAGCTCGTCGATTAACCGTAGCAACGAGCTACCAAGCTGAGGGAGCTGTGCGTCAGAACCATCGGCAACCAGACCATCCGCTGATTGGAATAGGACGTCCAAATCGTCAATTAGCACGACTCCGACGCACAAAGATGCTGAAGTCTCAGCATCACTCAGGGATCCTAGCTCCGGGAATTTCTGTTCGAGCTCGTGGGTCAAATACTCGTACGCCGTAGGGAATGCTGGGCTCTCCGCTCCCATCAGTAGCGACATCCCGTCTACCCGCCACGTTCCAATCTTCTCTCGCAGTAACTCTCGTTGCAATGCTACCAATGCCAGCGACTTTCCCACGCCATTCACGCCCGAAATCAAGACGCCGTGAGAGCCGATCTGCTCCATCTCACTCTCGTCGTCAGGGCCCTTCTGTCCACGCTTCAGCACGAGCGCGAGGTTGAGCAGCACGCCTTGCACGAATGCAGTGTACCCTGCAAAGCCCGTGTGCCAGAGCCGAGAACCGAGCTCGCTTTCGTACGCCGAGCCTGCTGCTCCGCTTTGATCCCCCTCCTGAATGCTCAGCGCTTCCACCTGCTTGGTCAGCTCTACAGTCTCTGCCTGTTCTACCATCGCCGCTTCACTGGTGGTAGCATCGCTCCATCCTTTCACTGCAACCTCGCTCGACTCGCCGCTCGTTCTCGCTGCGTCGTCAATGCGGAAGACGTACGTGTCCCCCAGCAGCCTCACAGGCACCAGTTGTCCCTCTCTCGGGGCCCGGAGCGCCCCTGCAGCGCCCATCTGGCGTCGGATGGCTGCCTCCAGGTCGATCTGCCGCCGCCGAACGCTCTCAGGCAGCAGGTGCGTGCGGGAGTCGCCCAGCTCCAGGCCGACGCTGCCGCTCCCGGAGGTGGCGACGGGCGGGAATTTGGTCTGCAGACTCAGCGACAGGCGCCACGAGGCCGCGGGTCCGGCCGGTTCGACCTTCTCCAGCGTCGCCACAGCGTCCTCCAGCTGTCCGCAGACGTCCAGCACCCACGGGTGCAGCTGAATGCGCCCGCCAGTCCCGGAGGACGCACGCCGGTCGACGATGCACTCCAGCAGGACGGAAGAGCGCGAGCTGAAGAGCACGCGCACCAGGTCCAGCTGCTTCATGGAGTGCCGATCAGCGTCGTCCTGGGCGACCAGCACCTGCTGAGGCTGCAGCAGCGCCGCGGCGGCGTCGCCGCTGCACGCGCGGGCTGACCAAGGCATGTGACCTCACCAAGTTGGTTTGACCAACGCGAAACTGTAGCATAGTACTATTGCATCGTCATGATTGGCTGTTTTTTTGGCAAAGCCCCCCCTATAATGACAACACACACTATTCTTCTTACGCTGATTTACTACACCTTACACGTTGCTCCGGCCGCTCCGGGACGTCGTCGAACTCGTCCAGGTCGACGAATAGTTTCATGGACGATGATAACGGATAATAGTTGAGTAAATCCCAAAGTTGTTTTGTTTTTAATCCTTGAAAGCACTACCAGCCCAACTCTCTAGTTGATTCTAACGTGGGCATCTACTGCGCCTGCTTCACAGCCGCAGCATCTGCCCGAGAATGCGTAATTGAACAAATAGTTGTATGTGTGCGCACATCGAAGTGTATCGATGCGGAAATGATGTTTCAGCCAAACCTTTGTGAGGCTGGTAACCAGCAAGCCCCGCTCTTCTTTATCGTGGTGGGTTCTCAGGAACCGAAAGTCACCAATTTCGTTGCCTGGTCTGATGAGGCCATCGGTGACATAACACCCTGGTCAGCGTCCAATGGCTGCGTTGGCACCAGCAACGAGAGAGCTATTTCATTCATTTTGCAGGTAAGGTATACTGTGCCCATTTTTGTACTATGTTGTGTGCTAACGATCAGACGAGAGAGCAACAGTAGTGGAACGAAGGAGAGACGCATGGTGCGCTGATCTTGACCTTTTAACTGTTTAACTTGAGGATGTTAGCTAAGTGACAATATTGATCCTCAATTCAAAAACAAAACAAACAAACAAACAAACAAACTTTTAACTTGAGGGCTTGGGGGGTGAATTGCGGAATGAGAAATACGCTAATGGGCCTATTCCTTGGAAGTGGATGCTTCAACGCAGGGAAAAAGTCTTATTCAAACGAACGATGCTCGTGTCACTGTCGAGTTGAGCTGATTGGTTTGGCGACAGACACGAGGTTGGGCATCTTCGGGTATTGAGCAAATTGACATGTAAAAAATGCAGCCTGCACCTAGACAAGTCATGTTGGTTATCTTCAGCTAAGCTTGGTCGATTATGGCGCAAATTGATACGCCTTCAGATGGCTCTCATAGTGTACTGGAGCGTCCGTAAGTATTTGTGTAACGGGATACAATCAAGTGTACCCATTACATGAAGAGTGACGGGTGTCACTCTCCCGAGTACATGGTACATGGTACCAGTAACTCCCGCAAGCCAACCATTTGAATTTGTGTGGGCTTTTGTATAGTTAACTTGTAGTTTGTATTACGACCAAGTTAACCTCTACCAAAATACAGTCAGTCTTATAACCTACTCGTTTGTAGCAAACCGTTCCCATTGAGGCGGGAACTGGTGAACTGCTGTTCACCTGGATAGTAATATCCGCACGCACTTCCTCCCTGTGCATTGTGCTGTGTGACCCCATCACACCTGGTAGCACTTGTAGTCAATCCTACGCCTACGCGGGTAGATTGGTCTACCTGAATCCTCTGTGGCTCAAGTTCGTGAGCCACGATGGACCGAAGTGAGTTCCCTCACTTGACTGATTCGCGGTTCGAGTCAGTGCGGAAGATGGCGGGCATCTTCGGAAATGATGCCCTCCGGAGCTTGGTGGCGGGGACGCCAGTCGAGCAGGTCGAGCGGGTGAGCGCGTTTGACGAGTACGAACGCGGGCTCATCGTTCATGTGCAGAAAAACCTGCTGGCTCAGATGAGTGAGCCCAAACGGGTGCAGCCTAAGCCTTTGCGACTAGCTGTGCCTCCGTTCGAAGGGAAGGAAGGTGAGAACCTTCACTTCTGGATCCGGGAGACCGCGATGCGTGCAGGTCTCATCTCGGCCGAGAACCTTCGAGTCGCCTTTGCGCTCTCCAATCTTGGCGGACGTGCCAAGACTTGGGCGTATACGCGCGAAGCGATGTCGCCTGGATGCTTTATGTGGTATTGGAAAGTGGCAGTTTCCAACGCTGCTGACCCGCCAGCCCGACAACCAAGTTCAATCAAGGGGCGATCAAGGCGAGGTCAAGCGAGAGACGGAGATGACTGCTTCTGATTGGATGATGACACTATCCTCGGTAGAGTGACAGGCAGTGGCCGAAGCCTTGTCGGGTCCTAATAGAACCCCGAACGAGGCTTCATGGTACCCACTTTTTGGTACAGATGCATTTAGTTACGTACTTCGGCCGCACTTATTAGTGTAGCCGCGGTCGTCATTTGATGCGTCCGGGATCGCCTCATTGCGGTCGTTCACACTAGATATTTGTATAGGGACATAGGACTCATCATAGGATGACCAGAACGAGGCCCCCAAGGCCTCAGAAAACTCAGTAATAAAAAGACAGTCTTCCCCCAAAGCCAACAAGGGTCAAGTCCGACTTTGGTAAGTGTAGCTAGCTTATTGTAGTGCCTGGACACGCTCGGCTGCGTGTGGATGCCTGTCGGGGAGCTTATCGTGAATTGACCGAGAGTTTCCTTGGTAGCGCCAAGAGTTGGCGTGGCCGGAGAGGCAGGAACGGTATTAGAGTATCGTTCGGTATGTATTTGTGGGATTAGAGTGTCCCTGAGTGTATTAGTCTACCTACCGAGGTTTTACCTTGGTCCCCCTGTATAAGGTCTAACACGCCGGTACCCTTCCTTTCTGAGGGACTGCAGTGGGGTTGCGCGAAAGCGCTACATAGTATCCGAGCCTAAGCTCGTGGCTAGTGGTACAGGTTTTGGGTTGACCGAAGACAACCTAAGGTGCACAAAGGCGCTTGCAACCGACCCGGTGTAAGGGATCGTTCCTGGTGTTCAGGTTTTGATCCAATAAGCGCTTACCTTTGCGGGTTAGCGTGTTGTTGGTGTCTCTAATACCTTTTGGTAGAGGAGCATTTTACTGGTATTACCACACCACAACTGGTGCCGCGACCCGGGATTGGTGTGACCTTCTGTGTGTCTTGGTTGTTGTAGATCTTTACCCCCAACGAGCGAAGAGAAGAAGAAGAAGAAGAAGAGAAGCGGAGAAGAAGAAGAAGAAGAAGAAGAAGAAGAGAGGAGATGGCGAAGGGAGTCAAGTCAGCGGTACCAGCAACACCGGCCAAGTCGACTGGAACGCGCAACGGGACTTCGGTGCGCTCCGGAAGCTCAATCTCGACCCCAACGACGGATCGGATGGAGTCGATTGACGAGCGTTCGGTGAGCTACGACACGGCGATTGATTCCTCGGACGCCAAAGAAGATGACGAAGATGATGACTGGGATGTCCGAACAGCGATGTCCGAGACTTCGGAAGCTGCGGTTGTGTCGGCAGGTCGCAGTGGAGGATCAAGGTCGATTACCCGCGACCTCTCCGACACGTTCAAGGACATGCCGGGCCCCGAGCCCGCCTACGACGCGGATGACGGCGCCACCGAGGACTTCAAACCCTCGGTGACGGTAGGAGGGGCAACCTCCAAGCCGGTTGGCACTCGTCCTCCCCTCAACGGGGATACTCCGGCGGCCAACAAGGTCCTAGGCCGGTGCCTAGACTTGATGAAGACCAAGAGCGAATGGATGCAGTTGTTCTCCCCGAAGCATGTCCGCCAGGCCATCTGGATGGACCTCGGAGGGGCGTTGGCTACGCCGATCAACTCATCGAGCACTCGGCACGTTGCGCAGAATACTGTGGACCTCCTGCGAGCTATGGGGTGCGAACCCCAGATCCTCCCGACGGAGGCTGCGCTCGCGAGTTGGACGCCGACCGCCGCTACCACGGCGTTAACCATATGTGGGAGAAGAAGCTGCGTAATGCCTTTGGAGTGGCGGACGTCAGTTCGCGAGGCCCAACGATGCTTCGTTCGACCTCGGAGGCAGTAGACCCGTCGACGGTCCCGCTACCAGCGACCCCTCGGAAGGGAGCCACTGATGACGGTGTCTTTGCAACCAAGGGCGAAGCCTCGCCGTATATGCAAGACTCGCACATGGTAACTCCACGATCTACGGACCGTAGTGAATGCCTGGCTAGGGAGAACGAGGCTTCATTCGCCACGCCTGGCACGCGCGGAGCGACCGGTCGTCGGTCCGGCCGACGTTACGACCTCCAAGATGATTCGTCGGACAGCGACGACGACCTCGGGCCCGACTACTACGAAGGGGACCTACCGAGCGAATGGGCACGTCAGGTGCGCGAGCTAAGCGCGACCGACAACCAGAGCTCAACCCCAAAGCTCGAGATCGCCACGCATTTGCGTTTCGCCAACATCAAGCCGTTCTACGGAACGCGCGACAAGAGCGAGCACTCCATGCAGTGGCTCCGAACGTTCATCTATGAGATGAAGGGAACGCATGCACCACCCAACGAGTGGTGTATGCCATTCGAACTTAAGCTCAGGGATGGAGCCCTGCACTGGTGTCGCCAGCTCCCACGCAAGACAAGACGCACGTGGAAGTTGCTGAGCGAGGCGTTTATCAAGTACTATTGCTCGACGTTTTCCCAGTCTGCGAAGGCTCGGTACTACTCGGCCAAGCGGGAAGACAAGGAACACGTTTGTGACTACCTCAACCGGCTCAACGGCTACGCTCGCAACGCCGGTGTGCAATTTGAAAACGGTGGTCGTGACGCGAAGGACCACGTGGACCACTTCTTGGTCACGTGTGACGACCGAAACTTAGAAGACCGTCTGTGCCACGTCCGGGTCAAGAGCATCCATGACCTCGAAGACATGATCAACGACATCCTGCGTCACCGTGACCGCAAATCGAACCGAGAATCGTCGTTCCGCCGCTCTCGGAGTCAAGATGATGGACGTCGACGCGATGCGAGGTCGAACGAGGATTCTCGTGGTGGCTACCGCCGCGAACGACGCTACCACGACGAAGACCGTCGCGAACGACGTCGCCGTGACAACGACCGCCGCAACGACTGCAGTGAAGACGACCGTCGCCGTGACCGACGCGATGGATCGCCGTACCAGTCCCGAGTCACTTTGGTTGACGCGCTGGCCGATGTGATGGCGGAATGGAACGTCGGAGGCTCGGTCGGTGCACGCAACGAGGCTCCATACGCCCCCCGACGTGATGCTGAGGCGAACGAGGATTACTTCGAGGATGAGCGCCAATACTCGGACGACCAACGCTCGGACGAGGATTCAGACGCTGACTACGACTCGGATGGGTCTACCGGACATGTCGCTGCTGCTAACGATGCTGAGCGCAGGGCCGCAGCCGAAGGAACGTTCGCTCGGTCTGATAACCGACGCTTCAGGAACGGAGGAGGCCCGTCCAACCGTGAACGAGATGGTCGACGCCAGTATGGGCCGTGTGCCGCGTGCGGAAGCCCGTCCTACTCGGTGCACTTCTGCTACCGGCGGTGCAAACTGTGCAAACAGGTGCACGACGCTGGGGAGTGTGAAGCACTTCACGAGCTCACCAAGCTCCTGAAGTCCAAGGTCGACAAGAAGGGTCTGTCGCCAGAGCTGCAAAGCCTGGTGTATGGAAGTCATTTAAACTAGGCAGCCCGCCAACTGAAACTGGGTTGGTCCCAATGGGGCTGCCACAGTTAGCTGAGCCTGCTGTTGATGCGGACTATCTGTTCGCGTTCACGCGCCAACTCTTGGCGCTACCAAGGAAACTCTCGGTCAATGCACGATAAGCTCCCCGACAGGCATCCACACGCAGCCGAGCGTGTCCAGGCACTACAATAAGCTAGCTACACTTACCAAAGTCGGACTTGACCCTTGTTGGCTTTGGGGGAAGACTGTCTTTTTATTACTGAGTTTTCTGAGGCCTTGGGGGCCTCGTTCTGGTCATCCTATGATGAGTCCTATGTCCCTATACAAATATCTAGTGTGAACGACCGCAATGAGGCGATCCCGGATACATCAAATGACGACCGCGGCTAATAAGTGCGGCCGAATTACGTAACTAAATGCATCTGTACCAAAAAGTAGGCACCATGAAGCCTCGTTCGGGGTTGTATTAGGGCCTGGCGAGGCTCCGGCCACTACCTGTCACTCCAACGAGGATAATGTCGCCAGCTTAACCAAAGCAGCCACTCCAACTCGCGCTTGACTGCTCCTTGATTATTGTACCTTGATTCTTGGGCGACGGGCAATCGCTCCGGTAATCTCCATTTTCCGATACCACAATCTCCATCGCCTTCCTTCTCCATGCCCGACAACGATGAGGAACCGCCCCACGAAGAACGTCCAGCTGAAGATCAACCCGCGGAACAACGGGGACAGCCTCCTTCTGATCAGGGCCGCGATCAGCCTACTCAAGAGCAACCCGAGAATCAACCCCCTCCCGATCGACGCGAGATCATCGAGATCCCGGACGAACAGCCTGAAGAGGAAGAGCCCGATCAAGCGGAGTCTGGTCGATCGCACCAATCTCCCGAGGCTGATCAGTCCGACGCGGACAGATCGGCTTCGGATGAGCCCGCTTCTGGTGAGGACGAATCTGAGTCCGAGGGAACCGATCAGGAGGCTCTGGCGGCGTTGACCCGGTCTCGATCGGAGGCCCGTCGTCGTCAATCCTCCTCGCCTACTCGTCGCGCCCCACCTACTCGATCTCGATCGCCATCAGTCCAGTCGATAAACTCTCGATCAGGCTCCGTTCACTCCCGACACTCCAGAGGTACACCTCGATCTGCCGGTGGTTCGCCCCGATCGTCTCCTCCGAGATCGCCGCCCGGCTCTCCCCCTGGATCACCAGGGCCACGTCCTCTGATCCCGCCATTATTCCCGATCGGCACCATGATTCCTGGCTTCAACGCTCCCAGGGTACTGACCCAAGCGGACACCGAGCCTTGGCCTTCGATGTTGTTGAGCCAGCTGCAGATCACTGCCATGATTCAGTCGACTCTGGTCCGCCAGCTGCCCGTTCCTCCGGGATGGCTCTTTCCGCTCTTGGTTCGTGGTGCCGTACAGCCTGTTGAAGGAACAGGCTATCGAGATGACTTGATCACCAGCCCCAACATCACGGCTCTGATGGCTGACCGCCCCTGGCAGGTCCTTCGAAACCCGGGAGGTCCTCTGACCTTCGATCTCGCATTACATCGGCGTAACGGCACTAGATTGGGTCGGATCGCGGACGCATACCTGCGATTCGAGGAGCGGAACCGGCAGGCTCTCTGGGAGGCCACTCATCACCTCCCGATCACTGGTACCCAGCGCGATGCCGACCCCGTCGGCGATCAGTACTATCAAGAGCGTCGAACACGGCGAATCCGTGTCGGTGATCGGTGGCGGCGACTCCTCCGCGATGTACTGCCAGTGATGCGTGATATGTGGGCGGACCTCGATCTGCTGCTTGATCCGTTCTTCCTACATATCCCTGTTCACCTGCGGGACTTTGGTACCTGGTATCCTGGCGTGGTATCCCGGGCCGCGAACGCCGGCGACCCCACCCAGCATCAATGTGAGCCGACCGACCTTCGGACAGCTCTGATCGAGGCAGACACCCACGATCCTTGGCGAAACCAGTACCGCTCAGGACCACCCAGCCCGGCAGATCCCTCGTCTTCGCAACAAGTTCAACCCCAATGTCGGCGCCCAGCAGCCGTAATATCAGTCCAGCTCACACGGTCGGCTCCAGCGATCAGCCTGTCGGTTAGTCAGTTCACCCGAGGTCGTAGTCATTCGGAGGCCGATCCTCTTTAATCGTCGCCCGACGTCTTCTGATCAATCCATCCCATTGCAATACTTCATTTTCTCTGCCGAGTGTCAACAGTCTTGGATCAATCCACTTATTCCAGCACGATCAGCTAAGATCCACCATCATAACACCTTGCCATCGCTCCATAACCTTCCGATCTGCACTCTCATGCACACACTCATTCATATACAACCCCTTCCTCTGATCGACGGCCTCCCCGTCGATCCGTCATCCATCTCGCTCACCAAGGCGACCAGCTCGCCCTGGCGGTCCGATCTCACTCTTCCTCGTGAGACCGCATCGCGCTGAATCGGTTCCGGTTCACGCGATCTCGAAGGAATTCGTACTATAGAGCTCCACAGTTGAGATCAGCCTCGTCAACCCAGTCAGGCTCGTCATAACCCTTCCAGTGTACCAGGAACTCTCGATACGTCCGGCCATACCGAGTCCTGCGGCGTGTTCTCGTATCCGTGATCTTCTCCACTTCGTACTCGTTCGCGTCTCGATCTGGGGCCCAGCTGTCCTCCGGAAGTAAGACTTCGTCAAAATCAAGTCGATCTGCTTCGTTCACCGTGAGCGCGATCTGCGGTCGATCGGGGAAGTCTCTGACCAACTTCAGCTTCGACACATGCACGATCGGGAACAGGTGATAGTCTGTACCAGCGATCTGGAGCTTCATCGTGTACTCGTTCACCTTCTCCGCAACGCGGAACGGACCGTAGCCAGCTTCCGGGCATACCCCTCTTTCACACGATCCAGGTACAGCCACACCTGAGATCCAGCTTCGATCGAGTGCGGTCGAACTTCTTCATTGTGTCGATCGGCCCGATCCGTGATCGCCTCGCGTAGGCGAGCATTCACCTGACTTTGAGCCTGATCGTAGTGCCTCTGGATCCGATAACGCCACCGTCGAGGGTTCCGATCCCGAGTCCGAGTACTACCCAAAGGTATCGTCGCCTCGAGCGTCGATCGAGGATCCCAACCATGCACCAGATAAAAAGGGGAGTCTCCACGGACTCGATCTTGAGCCGTGTTGATCGCGAAGGTCAATCGCTCTGCGTATTCATCCCAATCTCTCTGATCCAGATCCTCCACGAACATCTTCAGGGCTCTCGTCGCCGTCTATACCATTCGCTCTGCAGTACCGTTAGCTCGAGGTCGATATGCCATCGTCGCTCGCTGACGCATACCCAGGATCTTGTTAAAGGCGCGGAAGAAGTCGGCCATAAACCCCGGTTCGCGATCATGCCTGATCACCTCGGTAGCACTAAATCGCCGGAACACGCACTCTTCGTAAGACTCGGCGATCGTCTGCGCCGTTCGGGACGAACTGGCCTTCGCGATCACGTATCCCGTGAACAGATCGACCCAGATCAATAGTTCCGTATTACCCTTGCACGACTTCGGCAGCGAAGGTATGTGATCCATCGCTATGATCTGGAACGGGTATGTCGCCTGGATGTTCGCCGGCGACTTGCCCCTGATCGTGGGTCGTCCTTTGCCGGTCTCGCAGTCGATACATTCACCGACGTACTTCTGCACACTCCTGAAGAGACCTCTCCAGTGAAAATGATCGCGGATCCGCTGGTAGGTACGCCCGATCCCCTGGTGTCCACCTTCCAGAGTGGAGTGATAGTGATGCAGAATATCTTGATGCAGCGTCTCCGGTGCCACCAGTCTCATCAGTCCATCACGATCTGCCTCCGATCGCTTGGAGGGTGGGCAATAGAACAGCAGATTATCACCGTCGATCTCGTAGTCCGCTGCGAGGTTGCCATAGGATCGGGCCTCATCCTGTGTCAGATCTGCCACATCTCTCCTCAGATACTTCTTCATACCCGCGATCCACGTTTCTTCATCATGTGCTCGACGAATCCGATCGATCCGCAACCCTCGCACGAACTCCTCCTGCATGACGGTCGGGTTCGGCCGTGATCGGGTGCCCGATCGGGTTGTCATCGGCGATAGTCGGGCGATCGAATCATCCGACCGGACGACCAGGATCTCGTCAAGTCGGTTCAGTGTCACTAGATCCCCATGATCGGCATCCTCCTCGACGACGACGCCCCCTTCACGTTGGAGTGCTGCACTGGCCAGGCTGTCCGCACTTCCGTTCCAGTCTCGTTTCACATGTAACAGCTCGTGATCTGGCCAGTTCCGTAGCTGATCCAGCAGCATCTGCTTCAACAATGTCAGCTTAGGTGCTTTGCGGTCAATCTCGCCCCGTACTTGTCGGATCACCAGGTTGGAGTCACCGCAGACCACTAACCTGACTCGATCTATGCCGTCAAGGAGGTCGAAACCCAACAACAGACCATGATACTCCGCCTCGTTAACAGTCAGCCCTTCAGCATAGCCCGATCGTGCCTTCACCACACTCCATACGGGTAACTTCCACAAGATCGCACTGTACGCACCCCCGCCTCGCTTGACGCGGGCAGATCCATCGAAACTTATCACCAGGTGCTCTTCGTCCGCACGTACAGTCGGGACCGGGGCCTGAATCTTCCGCCGGGGTTCTTTCTTCGGCGCGATCGCGATCAACGCGTCGTCCATATCCGATCGAGGCGTAATACTAGCGGCGATCGCCCCCATTATCTTGTTCTCTCCTTTGGTGCACTTCGTGATCTCCAGTGTCCAGGGCGATAGGAGTGCAGCCCACTGACCGAATCGGCCTTGAAGACCGGGAGATCGGAACAGCCACACCAACGTGGAGTGTCGGGTCAAGACCCGGATCGATCGTCCAACCAGCATGTTATAGTTCAGGTCCAGGATCCGGAACAGCGCCAGCACTTCTTTCTCCACCACGTTGTAGTTCAATTCATTCGACTTCAGCGTTCGACTGGCGAAGGTAACGGGATGATATATCTGGTCGTGCTCCTGCATCAATGCGGCCGAGATCGCCCAGTCACTCGCATACACAATCACGACCGGAGTCCGATCGCGATCGAAGTGCCGCAAGATCGGTGTCGTCGCGATCTTCATCTTCAGGGTCGAAAAGGCACGATGAGCACGGATCCAGCGTTCATCGGCTACACCGACTTCAGGAACTGATGGAGTTCGATCGGGGTTCACTGGGTCCGTATCCACTAAGTTCGGTACTTGATGATCCAGGATCTGGCGCATATCGGGGCGTTTCTTCAGCTCGGCGAAGTCCACCTCGTGCAGTTCGTACAGGATCACCGCGTAGATCGCGTAATCTTCCAAGAAACGGCTGTAGTAGTTGAGACTTCCCAAGAATGACTGCACCGATCGGAGCGATCCGGGGAACGGCAGATCGGTCAGAGCCGTGAGATCCTTCGGATTGGCCTCCAGCCCATCGTTCGACACACGATGTCCCAGATAGTCCACCTTACGCATCCCCCAAGAGCGCTTCTCCACGCTGATCGAGAGGTTCCACTTATCACAAGCGTCCAGCAGGTGATCCGCGCGATCACACAGCTCGTCCCATGATCCGGCCGTCACAAGAATGTCATCAATGTACGATCTGCGACCTAGCACTGATAGACGCCCCGGATCTTCTGGTTCTCCTGACTCGATCAAGTCCGTAGTGACTTCACAGTCCGACGATCGCGGGATCCTGGTGAACCCATACAACGCGTCGTCGAGAAGTCGCTGATAGATCTGAGGGGCGTTCTTCAGGCCGAACGGCATCCGGTTCCACTCGAACAGACCCATGTGGGTGATAAAGGCCGAGATCGCACGAGCTCGATCGGTCATTGTCACCACCCAGAATCCGCTAGCCATGTCCAAAGAGCAATACCATAGTACCTTGTCCAGATCTTCCAGCAGATCGTTGATCAAGAGCATCGGATATACCATCAGCCTGGTTAGACTGTTGACGAGCCGATAGTCGATACAGAGTCGGATATCCACGCCGTTCTTCTTGATGATCACGACGATCGGCGAGGCCCACGGTGATCGAGATTTCCGAATCATCTTGGCTGACAGTAATCCCTTGATCAGCTCGGACACCTTCTCCACGAACTGAGGGGCAACTTTCCGGACGCGTTGAGCGATCGGCTTCGCGTTGCCCACGTCGATGTCCTGCAACGGTCCGCCCCCTGATCTAAGAGTATCAACGACGGCCGCCCCCGGATCAGGGCTCATTGCCTCCGATTCGCTTGTTGGATCGGATGGACCGTCGACCGATCGACGATCGGGGATACCTTGCGTCTCTGGAGAATGGCTCGGGGCGTTGGATAAGTCGGTCGCTCGACCGCCGGTACTGGAGGTCCCGCTGGCGCTTCCTGGTTCGTCGGCCAGTCATCTGTCGTGGCTTGAAAGGCTACATTCTGCCATTCCATGTATCGACGAGATCCGATCGACACCTATCCCGGGATCCGGGGTATCCGATCTCCAGCCAGCCACATCCCGATCCGTTCGTTCCGATGCAAGACGAGGTCTTTGTCGCTGATGTTGGTAACCTGGAGATATCTGATTCTGCCGGGTCCTCTGACCACGGTCGGCACCCAGCGATCTCCACGGGTGATCCATAGCTTTTCTCAATCCGTCACCTTCATTCGTAGCGGAAGTTCGATCGAATCCCCGATCGCGATCTGCACACACATACGTGTCTGACATTGTCGTTGTACAGCTGGCGCCGTCCGCTAAGCTGGATCTTGACTTCGTCGGGGAGACAGCTGGCGCCGTCCGCAAGATCGAGGCGGATCCCCGCTGGGACCATAAAGTCCATACCCAGGATCGACTCTTGTCCTGATAGATCGCCAACCCAGATATCAAAGAAATACACCAGCGATCCCGCCAGCGTAACCTTGATCCTGGTCCTTCCTTCCGTCATGTACACGCTTTCGCCAATCCCCACACATTCCTGGCCCTGACTCGGGTCGACATAGCACCCCACCTTACGAGCAAAGGCGGTGTCCACGATGGACACCTCGGCGCCGGTGTCTAAGAGTAAGATCGACTTCTCATTGTTGATCTTGCCAGTGATCTTGGCCTGACGGAACCACTTACCTGGCGAATGATGTTTCCCGTACCCCCTGGACTCCCCAGGAAGGAGATCGGGCACCACATCGCCATATCTGCGGTGTTCGCTGACGCGAGGCAGACTTCGATCGGGATCACGCTCCGGGATCTCGGTCGTCACTTCTCCATCAGCTGGCTTGAACCATTATTCCGGTCTGCGTTGCTTCCAATAGCCCCGCGTTTCTCCAGACTGGAGATCCAAGGGCACTTCGGCGTCAGAACGGCTGAAGTCGTCCGATCGATGTAGACTTAAGACCTTGGCGGTAGATTTCGCATGCAGATCACATGTATTACCGCGTAGATCAGTCCGTCCACTTACTCGATCTACCGTGTTCTTGTTCACGAATGCATAGATGCAGTACCTAGAACGCTCGGCTCGTACCGGATTCCAACCCGGCGAGCGTCCTAGTTTAACATCTTCTCGGCGATCGCGGGCAACATGCCAGCGTGCTTCACCGGGTTGAACCATTGACGGATCTGGTTGTAGAATTCCTCCATCGGACACTTGCCCATCTCGTGTAGTTCACCACATCCACGGCACACGAACAGGCAACGATCCGCCGGATGACCTCTCTTGCCACACTTCTCGCACGTCAAACGACTCCAACAATCGAGATCGGTGTGTTTCCGCGATCCACAGTGTGAGCAGCGGCTTGATTGCTCCGATCCGTCAGGTGAAGATCGCGATCGTGGATCCGATCGAGGTGGGTCATGGTTGATCTGCGCTTGGTTGCTTCGATCCGGCTTCGTCGCGTCGCCCCCAGCGTTGCGAGACTTGTCCTCGGCCGACGCTAGGTAAACGCGACGTAGATCACCCCCCGAGTCCGATCCGTCCGATCCTGTGTCCGATCCAGACTCCTGACTCGCGATCTGAACTGCACGCACTGCCCGCTTGGTTGCAGCAGCTGGTGCTGAGGTCGGAACCTTCTGACGATACTTCGATCCAAAGGCAGATCGCTTCTGTCTGCTCTTCGCGCGCTCTCGAGCGCGCAGGACTTCCTCCAGATCTTCCGCGTCCGAAAGCCGGAATAGGGGAGCTGATCGGCCAGTTTCGGATCGCCCCAGCGTCTCGATAAAGTGTTCGACATGTTCTCGGCGGGCCTTGGAATCTCCGTCCTTGATCTTCAATCTCGCACGCAGAGCCGCCACATTCAGTCGATAGAGGTACTCCAACGGCGATTCATCTGATCTCTTGCGAGAATGGTAATACTGCCAAGCGACCGATACTCCCAGGCCACAATACTGGATCTGGAAACTCCGAAGTAGATCGCTCCACTTGTTCCGCGTCGATCGGCCCAGCTGGCGGTACCAGTTCTTCGCCGGGCCCGTCAGTAGATCAGCGAAGGTCAGGCACTTCTCTTCGTCCTGATCCTTGCCACTGAACTCCTTAAGATCGGACATCGCCGAAATCCGCGCACGCTGGATCAAGGAGGACCCAGTGGATCCTGAGGCAGCGGTGGCCACCGCAGCAGGGGCCGAACTCGGTAGATCAATATCGTCCGGATGCAACACCTTAGCTAGCCAGGCAACTCGCGCTATTAAAAGTGTAATGCAATTTGATTATCAATATCGTCCGGATCGTATTCCCACTGGGAGAAATCTTGATCCGGTGATCCGGCTGATTCCATCTCCACGTCCCGCGATCCAACGTTGTCGTCGACCACTGGAGTAGGTGTTACCACCGTGGCCTGTTGTTCCTTCGGAAATCGGGTCATCGCAGCCTGAAAGTAAGACTCCAGTCTGCCATTCGACTCATCCGATCCGGTGGCACTGGTGGTCCGATCGGTCGACTTGGGGTTCTGCTTCCGAGGTCCTGATCGCATGCGTTCCTGACGTTGACTCCGTGATCGTGCGTCCAACATCGCAGATCCTGAAGGGCCAAGGGACATCCGTTGAGGTTCAGACGACGTATCCGATACATGTTCCGCTGCGGAGACATAAGGAGACGACGATCGGTACCCAGTGGACTCCATCCGCGGCGACGACGCGGGAGCTGGCGAAACTACATCTGGCACCTTCGGGTCCGGACTGTCCGCGATCACGTCGACCAAAGGTCTCAACTTGTCGACCAATGTCTGGATCGCTGTCTGGGTCACATCTTGATCGAAAAGATCGTTCGCTTCAAAGGCGCCAGCCACGAAGCCGGCTTCCTTCAACAGCCCGAGCAGGTTCTTCACCGCCATCAGCTTGTTATCCGTCACTCGGGGGGCCGAGATCGGGCCCTTCGGGTCGTCGATCTGCTCTGGCCGCACGACCACCATGACAGGATCTTGACGCAAGAAGTCTCGCAGTTCCTCCAAGTGATACTGACGATCCAGGTCAGCCTCAGACCAGTCGAGCGCCGACGGTCTGGGATCTTCGTCGTCCAAGCCTGGCGCTCTCAGCTTCTTCCTCACGATCTGGGCCTTGTCCGCGATCGCGTCCAGGTAGCCCGGATCGAGCCTGATCGGCGAGTCAGCGAACGCGTATCGGTCCGATCCCGCCTTAGTTTTTTTTATAAGTGAATCTCGGTTCGCACCAAGATCCACCGGGGTCCCCGAAGGGACCTGGGGAGGATGTTGAGGTTTGTCTTCTAGATCTGTCTCCAGATCGCCCTCGATTCCGTCGACAGAAGTCCTCCGAGCACTCTGTCGATCCGCGGATCTTACTTTGTTCAGCAGCGTCTTCGTCGATCCGATATCCGACGACGCCTCTTCCCCTGGTTCTTTCTTCACTTGCGCATCTTCTACGGACTCACGGTGAAATCCGGAGTCCCCAAGAGATCCGGGCACGCGCACCATTGTGGTGTAGCGGGATCGGCCAAAATCTGGTTAAGGCCTGATCGAGCTTCCCACCAGCGCCCAGACACCGACTAACGGAGGGGGTTCTCCAATGATCCGTGATCGGCTGAACTTGTTCTCACCTTGTGTACCCATCGGCGGGCTGGATCTGCTCTCTCGGGGCTCCGAAGATGCAGCACTTGGTGAAGATCGAGTGTCTTGGCGTGACGCGGGGATAGTTTGTGGAACAGCGCGGTAGTCTTCGCTCTGCGTCCGAGTGTATGCTCCGATCGAGGGTTCATCGCTTCGATCGGTCGGCCTGGAGTAGATCCAAGGCCTGTAGTTGCCTTTCCGGGTATGTTCATTCCTTTCCTGAGTTGCTTGCTGCTTCCTATAGCGGGATCGAGGTTGATCGAGAGGAGAAACGATCGCCGGCCAAGCAGTATCCGGTCGATCGAGGGTTCGCACACAAGAAATAGATCGCTAGAGTAGGTCAAGCTGGCCAATGTATTAATCCAGTCTTAACCGTACCACTAGCTCACTGTCCAAAGTGTCGATGCTTGCCGAGGCCAATGTAGTTCCTGGGACTTGACGACTTTAGGGGACTTGTGCTCTTCGGTGCAAATTCTGCTCTGATTTATGTTTAGCTGGTGTCTCTCTACCGCTACCATCTCACCTACCATCCTACAACTAAACAACTACTGGATTCTTGTCCTGGCTTCGCCCCCATGTGCTTCCCATCTTGGCTGATCGGCGATCGCGATCAGCGATCGCGATCAGCGATCCACGATCAGCCCTCGATCGCGACCAGTCCACTTCGGTCTTCAGCCGTCCCACTCTACGATATCGCTCGTTGATCTTGCCCTCGCGCATGATGTCCTTCGCCTTCGACATACGCTCTTCGCACCACGCCCCTTGGATCGGTGTGGGACGAGACATCACCACTCTCCATGTGTCGATCAGCTGAATCTACCTGGTTCCACACCCCGCCTACGTGCGAGTACCATCCCGGTGCCTCGATCGCTCGTCGAACCTTCTCGATCTCCGCAATCCCAGTCTTATTCACGTCGCCTTTCTCTCGATCGTCGATCCCCTTGAGTTTTGGTCGATCGGTTATGCCGCCTTTCTCAGAGAACAAATCTTATTCTCGCGCTTCTCCACAAAACCAGAGTACGGTACATTGTCGCCAGAAGATCATGAAGCGGTGGATGCTCTTGTGCATAACATGATCTACGCACAGAGCGCTGATGACTATTCCATCAATCGGTCCTCTTTGCAGTTGCTGTGTGGACGCACAGGCTTCGATGGATTCTTCAACTACATGGAGACAAATTGGCATACTTGCCAAGAAATGTGGGTCCTACACCATCGAGTCACGTTACTTCACTTCAAAGTCCACACCAACAACCGCCTGGAGTGTTGGTTTGGACACTTCAAAGATGCAGTTACTGTAACAGGGTTACACGCACAAGTGGCTACAGTCACTTGTAACTCTAACAGACACGACGTCTGTTAGAGGTTCGAAAGACTTTCTCGACCTTGGTGTAGACACACCAAATGCTACATACATTTACGACCATACGACGGGTGGTCCATAGAGACTTAGGATTCCTATTGGCTGAGAGCAGCATCTCTTAGCTAATGAGCGACATGCATAGCATTGGAATTCTGCCAACCAGCCGTTGGCAGATTCCCAGTTTAGAATATTACATTTAGAGGAAGTCAGAAACATAAAAACAAAATAGCAGTTCTCATTTTAACCCAAAAACATTATTTGGATCGTTTATTTAGATTAATCTATACTCGGAGGCCCGAGTATAATTAACTCTAATTTAAGCTAAGCTACGCTTCCTCATACACGTGCGGACACGTGTAAGCGAAAGTAGTGAGCCAAAGTAGGCCCACTACACCTGGTAGCACTTTGTAGTCCGTCCAACGACCGACTACCTGAGTTCGTACGTCACCGCACGAACGCGGAGCTGAGAACCTTCCCATGGATACAGAGGTGCCCATGGAAAGCTCCACTACGCCTGCAACTCACGTTGCACGCGCTGACTGTCCCCACCTGTCGGATCCAGAGTGGGAGGCCCTCAAACAACTGTCAACAGTCATTGGTGAGGCGGCTGTAGCTACGATGCTGCGTACGCTAACGCCGACAGAGCAACACGGTGTTGCTCTGGGTTTCATCCTGAAGGAGCAATGCGATGTTGCTGCTACTACCGCGGTGTCGTCCGGGACGACACCACGCGCGCAATCGCTGAAGCTCAATGTGAGCAACTATGTCGGAAGAGAGGGTGAACCTCTCTTCCGTTGGCTTGTCGAGCTCGACACAGCCATCGCGGCTCGACGTATCGTCGACCCGTTGTCGAAGGTTGCGTTCGCCATGTCATGTCTTGGCGGCACGCAAGAAGTTGGGCGTATGAACGCCGACTCTCGGATCCTACGTGCTTTAGCACGTACGAGAGTTTCGAGGATGAGCTCAGACGAGCGTTTGAGCCACCACAAAACGAGTTCCGGTCGAGGGCGGAGTTCCTCGGCCTGCAGCAGGGCAAGCATGATGTCCATGTTTACGCTCAGAGAGCACGGTACTTGGTCTCGAGCATCGTGACCAATCCGATCGATGAGGCGACCAAGGTCGTCACGTTCATGAAGGGACTGAGAGATGAGCCTGTGAAGACCTATCTCTTCCGTGAGTACCCGAGTACTTTCGAAGCTGCAATTACTCTTGCAATGCAGGAGGAGTTTAGCCTGCGGCAGGCTAAGCTGCATGCACATGTGCCGAGGCCACAGCCACGCCCGGTAGTGAGGACGGAAGGCCCAGAACCCATGGACCTCTCGAGTGCTGCAACTGCTGGACCCCAGCAGTCGCAGGGAAACAATGTGCGATGCTACCGTTGCGGTAGAGTCGGTCACTTTGCTCGGGAGTGCACGGCCCCCGTGCACCAGCAGGGTGGCTATCGCGGCGGTGCCGAGCACCGTCGCAGCCAAACAAAAAAACGCTGGACGCCAGTAGGCGCGGGGCGTCCTACTGGTAATGCAGTTCCGCGTGTCGACCTTGGACACGCGACACTGAGGACTGCAGCCCCCCAGTGAGATTCATTCTCACTGCAAGAACCAAGATGACAAACCTGACCTTGTCATCCTGAACGTGAACTCGATGAGAGCAAGCGGCTCTCTCCGTGCTTTGGTAGATTCTGGCGCGTCGAAGACTGCGAAGTCTATCAAGGCTTGACTTCGAGGATTTAAAGATACCTCGAAGTATATTGGAAGTACGACTGGCAACGGGTGCCGTCGTGAAGACCGAGAAACGCATGGTACGCGTGCGCTTCACGTATGAAGATCAAGAATTTGTCGAGACCTTTATCGTCCTGTATCTGGACGATAAGTTTGACATTGTATTGGGTATGCCGTAGCTTGCACGTCATGATCCGGTCATCGATTGGGAGAAGCGCACTCTCGTGTGCTTCGGTCGCGACAGTGGAACAGTGAGCGATGGACCTGTTGCCGCTACGCACGCACCGACAGGTGCGCGCGACTCCCCACTCGAGACAGCGCCTATTGCCGCTGTCCCGGAGCACCCTGGGCGCGCGCGAGCACGCGCGCAAGAGCACCTAGCGTCGGCGTTACCGCCGACAGCTAATGACGGAAATGTGTTGACCTCGGAGGTCGACACCCGCTTTTCAGCGAATCAGGAAGAGTCTCCGGCCTCAAGGGGCACGGATGACGCAGGCGAGTCACACGCCTCAGCCGTGGAGGCTGACGCGAATCTGATTGGTTCAGGTCTGGCCAATAATAAGAGCCAAGGTGACGTAACGCCGTCGACTCCGGGAGTCGATGGCTTGGGTGAATTTGATTCGTCGGCTCCGGGAGCCGACGCACCCTCCGTAATGGGGGTCTCCGCCAATGGTTGGCGTCGAGGTACTAAAGTCGCGACGGTTCCGGGAACCGGCGCTGCGAAAAGAAGTTTCGCGTCGACTCCCGGAGTCGACGCACCCTTTGTAACAAAGGACTCCGCCAATAACAGGCGTGGAGGTGAAGATGGCGTGTCGGCTCCGGGAGCCGACGCTGCAGGCGGTGCGGACGGTTGCAAACGTCTCGCACCGGAAAAACTTGCATGCTGTCGTGCAGCCGGGCTTGAAGTCGCTCGCCCGCGGGATAAACCCGCCGGCGGTACTGAAGAAGAACACCCGTCCACGGCTGGGCCTGGACGAGGTCAAGACCCAAGCGGAGCCGGGCTCCGCAAAACAAGAAGACGGCGCATGCGAAGGTCACTGGGCAAGTCTCGGCCTGGGGCCGAGACGCTACAAGAAATGTCTACCGGGCAGACGGAGGCTGAGAAGCTGGACGTCGAGACGTTGAACGTCTTGACGCGTACCTGTGCCGGGTTCCGGTACAGGGAGATGACTCTCGCTAATCCTCCGACGCAAGCGTCGGAGTTGACTTCGCTTCCAGTCATGAGCTGGAAGCGCTTCGCGCGTGACTTGCACAATGGACGCATCGAGTAAATATGCATTCTCTCGGACGCCGAGAGAACGAAGAGCGAGAATGAAGAACTGAGGCAGTTCCTCATGGAGACCACCACTGAGAGTGAGGACACCCTCAGTGCGAAGACTAAGAAGGAGCGCTTTAAAGAGCAGAGCTGGGACTCGTTGAAGACGAGTCCCTACTACGAGGTCTTACGGGAGTACGCGGACGTACTTCCAGAAGAGATCCGGACGTACTTCCAGAAGAGATCCCTGCGGAGCTTCCGCAGGACAAGGGAATCCAGCACGAGATTGATCTCGTACCGGGCACGAAGTACTGTGTCACACTGCAGTGGCCACTGCCGCGAGAGCAGGTCAAGGCGATCGACGACTTCTTTGAGAGTCGTCGCAAAGCTGGACAAGTGCGGGAATCGAAATCCCCGCACAGTGCTCCGACGTTCTGTGTCAAGAAGCCACAGGGCGGCTGGCGCATCGTTCATGCGTACAACAAGCTGAACGATGCGACGATACCGGCGCAGACGCCGATAGTGCTCCTGA